CTGGGGGAGGGAGGGGAGGGAGGGGAGAGGGGGGACCGTGGGCCGGGACTGTGGCTGGTTCGGGAGGCCAGAGCCCGGGGTGAGTGCGCCGGGGTGGTGGCGACCGGCGTCTCTGAGGCTGTCCATGCTCCTCATGCTCCTCATGTCGCGCCTGGGGGAGGACGCGGAGGCGGGGATCGGCGGCGTTGCCTTTGCGCCGGTGAAGGTGACCCAGCCGAGGGGGACCTTTTTGCGCTGCTCGTTCTGCTGGCGGCGGAGGGCGGATGCGCCCGAGGAGCTGGGGGGCGTGCTGGGCGTCGGGGGCATGTGCGAGGACGGGTAGTGGGAGGTGGGCGTCTGTTTCGTGCGGAGGGCGCTGGGTGTCGTCGGACTGTCGACGCTCGTCGCCCACAGCTGCTCGGACCGGTTCCGCCTCTCCCGCTCGTCGCGCATCCGCTCCCTGTCCCTCCTGACCTTCTCGCGCTCGCTCTCGTTCTGCTGCCCGACGTCGGACCCGGTCCGCACGTGCTGGAGCGCCCTGACTGCCGGCGGCGACTGGGGCCTCGCCGGCGGCCTGAGCGTGCCTCTGCGCCCGCCGTCGTCCTCGAGATCGTCGAGCTGGCTCAGGCGCTCGCTGCGGGACGAGACGCTGCCGTGCCTGCTCGTGCTCCGGTGCCGGTGCGTGCGCTGCTGCTGCTGCGTGTGCTGCACCATGCTGTACGGCGACGACGGGTAGCTCGTCTGCAGCGGCGGCGGCGGCGGCGGCGGCACGCCAGACAGCCCGGGCGACGCCGCCGGGTTGTGGACCGCCGCCGAGCTCGTCGCGACCAGCAGCCTCAGGGACCCCCTCGAGTCGCCTTCTTCGACGCACAGGTTGTACAGCTCGTCGTCGGACAGGGCGCCACTGGTGGCGTAGGCGTCGATGTCCGTCCTGTAGATCGAGTACCGCGCGTAGTCCTCGTCCGGGATTTGGAGCTGCCACTCGTGTCAGATTATGCGTGTAGACTACCAGTGTATAGTGTACCTTTGCGAATATGAGCTCCTTGATAAAGGCGGCGTTGGTGAAGCCGGTGATCTGCACGGTCGCAAAGTGGTCCGAGTCCGAGGTGACGAGGATGATCGTCTTGTTGTCCGGCGAGCGCACCGAGCGCACCGGCGGGGGCAGCGACGGGACCATCTGCATCTTTATTTGGGGATTATCGTCCGCGACGGGGTGGGGCTGGTGCGAGGGCGTGATGGGCGGTGGGGAGGACGTGTCGGAGGGGGAAGGGGCCGAGACGACCGAGGGCACGCGCGAGTCGAGGCGGAGGTCGCCGCGGTCGTCAGAGTCGCTGTCCGAGTTGGGTGATGGGTTCGAGACAACGAGCAGCGTCCGGTGTCCGTTCCGGTACCCTCGCCCGCCCGTCCGCGACGTCGTCTCCGAGGCCGTACTCATCGTGGCCAACGCTGAGCAACGCTAGCCCGACAGAGCGCCCATACCCCTCCTCTTTCTCACGCCCTTTATCACGTCCTCAATCGCTTTTCCATCCGGAATCTCAACATTTCTATACGCTAATAATACATTTCACAGCTTCACGTCGTCGCTCACGTCTACCATAGGAAACACAGCGCGCTCGCCCAGCAGTCCCTCGCCCCACTGCAGCACCCGCAACATCTCCACCACCTTGGCCTCCGTCCCCTGGCTCAGGCTCCCCAGGATCGCCGCGTTCACCTCGCCCGCAGTCCGCATACGCTGCGCCGGGCTCAGCAGCTCCGCGATCCCCGCAGGCGCACCGCCGGCCTCGAACGCCAGCAGCGCCATCGTCCGCTCCAGTTCTCCCAGAAACTCGGGCGACTCTTCCCCCCGAGGCGCCAGCTCGTCTTGCGCAAACGCCAGCGCTTCTTCGATCCGACCAACCCGGATGTGCTCAATCAGCTTTTGCTGTTGCAGCCTGAAGTACAGCGCCCGGTTGGTATCTAGGATCTTGTGCACAGTCAGCGTACGGTTCGAATCGGCACATCGAGACGCGGAGATCATTTTGAAGACTGAAGTTTTGGTGTAGCATAATCCGCATCGGCCGGAGCCTCAGCGTGGTGCATGCAGGGTATAATCCTTTCGGTACGAACGGGGAAACAAAGCTTACCTCTGGGTTCAAATCGTTCACGCGCGTGATGGCGTCTTGGACGTCGCCCCGCTGGAGCGCTTCGCGGATGCACATCCTGCTCTCGATGCTCTGCAGGTCGACCGGCGGCGCGACGCCCGCCTCGCGTGCAAACAGCTCCGCCGCGGTCTTGTACCCGCCAATGACGAGATAGTCCATCACGAGCGCGTTCAGCTCACTAAATGAAGACGGGCGTCAGCGTGGGCTCCAAGAACACGAGTGTTGGGTGGAGGAGGGGGGCGTCAGGTAATACATGCAAATGTTTAGGCGCATCAGCGGCAAGCCTCAGCGAGATTCCCAATTTGTTGCTCATCTCTCGGACGATACGTATGGACGGAGACTCACTCTTTGGACGCGTGGGCCTCTTCGAGCCTCTGCTCCCACTCGGCGTTGGTGATGATCGTCTTTGCAGCCGGCGGCGGCTAGGTCATGTCAGCGCCACGGCACGTTGTATTCATAGCTATTGTAGGCGGATGAAAAGGGCGAGGAAGACACGCGGAGGCGGTGAAAATTGCAAGGTCGTGAGGGTCGGAACGTACCATGGACGTCGTGTCGAACTCGATTTTTAAGCGCCCGCGGTCACGGCGCGATCAATAACGCCGGCGCTTGCCGTGGCCCTCGCATGCATGCCGTTCATGCAGCTGACGTTCGTATTATCGCTCTGACAGATGCTTCGTTCACATGTGCAAGTTTATCTCATGGGAAGAGTTGAGGATCATAGAGGCCTGACGACAGTAAAAGCCGAGTGTGGCCCATTTTTTCCACCGTCACAAGTAAAGTCAGAGCTAGGCTAAGTACGAGAAACGATGCCGCCCGAACGGATCATATCCAAAAAGTCGTCCTTCCCGAGCGCATCTGGGTGGCAATGAGCACGTACGACTATGGCATGAAGTGCGCAGAAGCTTACCATCCTTGGCCCGCCCAAGCTCGTTATCCTTGTTCTTCCCCTTTGGCTTGCCCTTGCCCTTCTTCTCCAGAGCCAGACTGGGCGCAGGCAACGTGGGCTTTCCACTCCCTCTCAACGCCTTGACCTCCTCCTCCTTCTCCCTCGCGCCCATCTGGGCCTGCTGGATGGCATTGAACAGCTTCACGACACCCCTCTGTGCGACCTTCCTGAGCGCCCTCTCGCTCTCGCCGCCCCATCCACCGATCACATCTCTGACCCGCCCCAGATCCTCCTTCTCCTTCTTTTCGACCGTCAGGACGCGGCGAGCGCGTTTCTCTAGCGCCTCTTCGTTCTTCCGCCGTGCAACTTCGGGTTTCAAGGCGAGAGGGAGAGAGGTGGGTGCCGAAGTAGACAGCAGCCCTTGCAGTGCAGCACCAAAGTGGGCGGCATCCGTGGCCCGATGTTTGCGTTTCGCGGTCTTCTTTGACTTTTTAGCACCGGCGGCGGCGATCTCGTCGTCGGTGTTGGGCTCATCCGAAAACTCGTCGGCGGCGTCTGAGGCATCTTGCTCTGCGCCGGACAAAGAAGCGATAGAGGAAGCGGCGTCAGATTTTGAGTGGGATGAGGCCGCGTCTGAGTCCTGGGAGAGACGGCGGCGTTTTGTTGCGGGGGCCATGATGGTCGGAGGCAAAGATGAGATAATTCGGGACACGCGCCCGTCGCGACGCTGAGCGCGCGTGTTCGACTGCAACTACTACGATCGGCTCTGTACGATCTATCGCTCAGAGGCCATGTCGGCCATCGACCTCTCGCCCGAGCCCGACCTGCACCCGCTCTACCCCACGCCCGCGCACGTCTCCGCCCTGCTCGAGCCCTCGTCTGGCCTTTCGCCGCCTCAACGATCTGAGCTCGTCTCCCACGCCCTATCGCGGGCTACGGCCTTTGGCGACCTTTCACTACTTACATTCTTGCTCGGGGACCGGTCTGCGTCGCAACTGGTGGACCTGCAGTCGACAGACGAAGATGGACTGAGCGCGCTGAGTGCGACGATCACGGGATTCGGGGCGGAGAGCGAGCGGGACGTGGAGAGGGAGGAGTGCGTGCGGCTGCTGGTCGCCGAGGGCGCGGACGTGGGTGCCGAGGACGGGTGTGGGTGGACTGCGCTGCACCACGCTGCGCTGCGAGCGCCGCCGACCGTCGTCGCGTTCCTGCTCACGCACGGGGCCAGTCTGTTCGCGACGACCAGGCGCGGGCTCACTCCGCTCGACATCGTCGCCGCACACACCACCGTGCCTGGAAGGGAAGACGTCGCGCTCTTGCTCGCAGAGGCAATGCGCTCCCAGGGCTGGCAGGGCGGCAGAATGGACGCAAGGCGCAAGGCAGTCGAGGCACGCATGGCAAAGCGCGCCAGGAGACGGAGGGTCCAAGACGACGTCGGGCGTGCACTCGCCATCAGCCCGCGCTGGTGGGGCGACGCTGAGGTCTGGGACGACGACGAGAGCTCGGATGGGAGCGACGACGAAGGCGAGGACCCCGACGAGCGCGTTTATGTATGTGCGTCTCTGTATCCCCGCGCCCTTGGGACTCTCTCGCTGATATATGGTTCAGACCCCGCCGCCAGACTATGGCACCATGCTCGTCTTCGCTCCCCCTTCGCTTCCCTACATCTTTCACTCCCTCATCACTGACTTTGCGCCCGCCTTGAGGAACGCCGAGCCCGCCAATGCTCTGTACATGCTCGCCCGATTCGCGTGCCTCGCTTGCGACAACACCTGGCTCGAGGATCTCATCATCGGCGCCACCGACGCGATCGAGGATGCCTTCTTTGTGCGTGCAGTCCCCTGCGCTGGCCGCATAGGTTGACGCCCACTACAGAACCGCTCAGAGGACCTGGAATGCCTCGTCTTTTGGCTCTACAACACCACGGCCTGGCTGCACCTCATGCGTTGCGACAACGCGATCAGCGAGACGTGCGAAGTCCTCGGCTCCTTTGTGCTTATAGAAGAAGTCATAAACTCTGTCTTCGGTTCGTCATACTTCCCTGCTTGATCTTCCCTTCCGCTCACACACTGTCTAGTCTTCATCATCCGGTACGTCGAGCGGCGCATCGATGGCCTTCTGGACAGCGCCCTTCTCGACCACGCCGCCTTGCCGACCGAATTCGACAATGTCCAATTCGAAGACGAATGGTCTCTCTTCCGCTCCTTCAAGAAGAAGTCCGCCACGCCTTCTCAGCCGCACACGCCGACGCGCCCTACCACGCCACCGCCGCAGCCCGTATCCCCACGCAACAACTTCGCGTCCCTCCGCAACACCTTCTCGCGTACCCGGGCCGGCTCCGCAGCGCCTACAACGCCACTCCAATCCCTCTTCGCAGCGGAGCAGTCGCAGCAGCAGAACCAACCGTCGCCGCCCGCCGGGCCGCGACCGGCAGACATCACCGACTTCTTTGATGCGTTGCAGACGCTGCTCACGTTGAGCGGGATCAACCCCGCCCTCATCACTCAGATGTGGTCACAAGTGATATACTGGATCGCGTGCGAGCTCTTCAATCGCATACTCTCGCGCAAGAAGTATCTCTGCCGATCCCGTGCCGTTCAGATCGGCATGAACCTGGGCGCTCTAGAGGAATGGGCCGCGCGGGCGAACCTTCCGCGCGGGGTTGTGCAACACTTGGCGCCCGTGCGCGACCTGCTCAACTGGCTGCAGTGTTTGAGCAGCATATCGGAGTTTACGGCGTTGATCACGACGGTCCAGACCATGCGGCATCTGAACCCGTTACAGATGCGGAGAGCGGTGAGGGATTATAGGTACGAGGTGAACGAGGGCCGGATGGACGACGAGTGTGCGCAGTATCTGGCGCAGCTGCAGAAGGACTGGGAGAGGCATCGAGTGAAGATGGGTGTTGAGGCTCTACGCAAGGAGGTGAGCATACTTTCTGTTTGTCACATCGTTTCTCAAGCTGACTCTCCCTTCTTCCAGATGAGCGAACGCGAACGCGAAGACTCGGACTCGGTCTCCCTCCTCGGAGACAGTGGCTCTGCACCTAAGCTAGCCTCAAGTGCATCATCTCTCTCCATCTCTACTACAGATCTGACACCGCACAACTCCATCGATCTGCTCTTCGCGCACGACAGCGCCGCCGCGGACGGCTGGACACCGACGCGCCCGCCCGAGATCCTCGGCGAGCTGCTGGACAGCCGGCACATGCTTCCACTATTGCTTCCCAGCGATCCGCGCCTGCTCGCTGCAGCGCCGAAGCGACCGGCGATATGGACGGCCAAAGGCTCAGATCGGCAGCATGAAGCGGATTCGCGCGCGAGCAGTCGAGCGAGCAGACGCGCGGCCGGTGTCATACCCTGGCGCTCTGCACCCAAAGCCGTGCGTGATGTCGGAGCGGATGTATTGACATACGTCGACGGAGGGCGATGGGCGCGCTACGGCCCTACGTATGGTTATGCCGAAGCGGATGGGGAGATGGAGATGGAGGGTGACGAGAGCTTTGACGAGGCGCACGCACTGGGGCATGATGCCGATATCACGCTCACTGCTGAGGATGGAGGATTGGTGCCGGAGTATGTCGCGGGACTGACGGCGAAGCCGCATCGCGCGCGGTCGGCTGCTGCATCGCCAGCCGTTGGCGCTGTTGATCTGCCCAGTTGAGGCGCTTTAGATGAAGGAAACACTGTATAGCCTTGTCGTATCGTTTGAGGATTCCTGTCGCACATGCTCTATTTGCTGCTTTCGTACCCCCATATCATGATATCCAGTTCTGCTACCGGAAGATACGATTGTAGACAGCACACATCTCACAATGGACACTCGGATTCGTTCAGTTTGCTCTTTAGTCATGTAACCCAATGAATTGACTAAAGCAAAAGCAGGCCCGCGGCTATGTGTATGCTAGTATGATACAATGTGGCACAAGAGAAGGGAACAAGCGTAGACCCAAGTTAGACAGCCGTAAAGTAGATCATGTCATCAACAGCGCCACGCTGCGCCTCCGCAACGAGAACGGGCTGGTGGTTCATCGCAGAGTTGATGCTCGCGAGTCTGTACGCGCCCTTCGGCAAGCCACCGCTAACCGTGACGTTCAGCTTCCCATCCACAGCTGGCGAGTTGACGCCAGCAAAGTAAGCAAACTTGGTGTTGTCGAGCGGGGTGGTCTGGTTGATCGCGTCGAGCGCCTCGATGACGAAGTGCGAGTGTCCGCGGATGTTGCCCGTATCAGCGTTGATCTGCTGCGGCGCCGAGTAGTAGTTCGTGTCGGGGTTGGTGAAGAACCCAGTGTCGAGGTTCTTGATGGCCATGGTCACAGTGAAGTCTTGGTTCGCCTTGACAGTGCCCATGTTGACCGGATGCACGAACTTGCACTGCGGCATGTTGCTGTTGGCCGCGATCTGGCCCATCGGGACGGGGTTGCACGAGCCCGTCTTGACTTGCTGGCCGTTGGTGATAGGCGTAGAAGTGAAGTTGGCACAGAAGTTGATGAAGTTGTTCGTCGAGGTGAGCGACGGCGTCTCGCCGCCTGAGGCGGTCGTGCCGTCCTTTGCGAGGTTTGAGCCGACGAGGGAGGCGTCAAGTGTCATGGAGGTTTGTAGATCACCAGAGTTGTTCGAGCCAGGTGACTTTGATGTGGAGGTGGATGCGGCAGCCGCGGAAGAGGAAGTCGCAGCGCTGGTAGCGGAGGAGCCCGCGGCTGTGGTGGCTCCCGATGAAGAGGAGTCGGAGCCAAGCGCGGATTGGATGCGCGCATCGCGATCAGCGGTCGTAGTGCAAGTAATGGAGGTGCCTGCAGAGTTCACGAGGGGAAGAGCAGCACAGCTATGGGGCGTGAGTGAGCCACGAGCACGATAATAATACGGAAATGAGATGATACGCACATCTCTCCGCCGCTGCACGGCTGAAGCACAAAGGAGCCACCGACGCACTGCGCAAACGCGTTGTTCACACAAGCGTTGGTGCCCTCCGTGCATGAAGAGTCTGCTGTCAAAGATGTGAAGTTCTGACTAGAGAAAAGGTCACTAAAAGCTCATCGACGGGTGGCATGATGGTGAACTCACTTCTGCGCCTGCGCGTCGAGACCGTTCTGGCGGAGGGCGCTCGCGTCCAGTCGCCGGTAGAGGGAGACGTATGGCGCCGCGTAAGTGGGAATGAGAAGGGCTAGCGATACAGTGATTGAGAAGAACATGTTCAGTAGACTGTGATGATGAGGCTGGTGGAGACTATGCGAGGCGACGTGCAGTGAGACGTTGAAAGAGCGTTTGAAGGTCGTGGATCCCAATCGAGACAGAGAGAAGGAGACTGAAGCGTAGGCACCAGGCCGAGGGAGGAGTTACAAGCAAGCGCGAGGCTACCTATCCCGAATTCCCTTGCATAGCTTATAACCAGAAGAACAATGGGCTTGGGCCGTCTTTGTCCAATGAACCAAAATAGACATCTCGTGGAGATCTCTCCAACCACCGTTGCGCGTGCGTTCTTGATGAAGGAACAAGGGCACGAAGATGGAATGTTGTGGATGGACCACGGCATGCGTGGAATGGACTGGGGACAAGGTCTAAGAGCCGGGGAAGGAATAAGGGGAGTCGCTGTGGGAGCCGCCCGAACGTGGTCAATGGCGGCGCTGGATGCGTCCACATCGGACATGTCATCCTCAGACCACAGTTATCCCGCTCGTACTACACAAGGCTTCATTGAACGTTAACAGTCGTTAAGATCCATCACACGGCGATGTGGACAACCTGGTCAAAGCAAAGACAATGCGGACCCCGGCTGTGGCCCGCGCGCGGCAAATGCCGCCCGTGAGCGCGTGAGCACTACCGCGCCGATCCTGTCGGATAACTTGTCCCCCGCCCACGATGTTGAGGAGCACATACAAGGACAATCAGACACTGCTTCAAGTGCCAGTCTATGAAATGGCGTTTGGTTGCCTATGAAAACACCACAGCATGTCCGCACTGCTAGTCTGCGTCGTCAACACTGTACAACTCGCGCGCTACAGTCCTTTGCTATTCCCGGTCGCTCAATCCCGTCCCTCCTCCTGCTCCCAACAAGGAGCTCACGCGCCATACTGTGTATGCGATGTCGTTTAATCATATTTCGGTCGCAACTTCCCTTGCCTGAATCGACGGTCCGGCGCCGCGGTCCGGAATTTCACCGTTAATCAGATTCCTCGCAATCCTTAGGTACTGACGTGTTGTCTTCTACCCACCATCGTCGTTGCGCTCTCATCTCACTCGGACGATGCCTACGCTCACCGTTGACGCCGTGCGTTTCAATCTCGGGGCTTGGGTAAGACATGATCTACGCTAATCTGACGTGCAGATCCTGTTTGACATGGATGGGTACGTTCCCCGCCCTTGAGTCACATACCTGACTAACTTGGACATACAGAACCCTTATCGACTCTACGCCCGGGGTACTCATTGCATGGGACATCTTCGGGAAGCAATACGGCTTCGATGGTCTCGCCGCGTCGGAATCTGCACACGGGCGTAGACTTGCGGATACACTTGGTGAATGGTGCAAGATCACAGACCCGAAGCTCTTGGCGGTGCGTACCTCCCTGCAATGTACTTGATGACGCGCTGATGGATCTTCCAGGATGAAATCGTGAGGTTTGAGGAGGACGTCATTCATGGAGGGCCGATAGTTCTTCCTGGCACATTATCATTGCTGGAACAGGTCTGCATTTCACCGCTTCCGTCTGACCTGATCTGATAGCGATCTGTAGATCAATGAAGGTGCAACCGAAGAACATCCCGGGTGGACTATCGTAACATCAGGTATGCTTGCAGTCGCGCGCCGCACCATAATCCGATAATATTGAGGCAACATCATCCAGCCACGAACGTGTACACCCCCAAGGCGCTTTCCCGGTGCGGCGTACCAGTCCCGGCTTCTGGATACGTGACGAGCGATGATGTCGAGCGCGGTAAGCCGCACCCTGATCCGTATCTCGCCGGCGCCAAAAAGATTGGTGTGGACCCCGCACGGTGTAAGCCAAAGAAGTGCATCTCACGAGTATGCTCACTGAGGCGTGAATTCAGGCCTAGTCATCGAAGATGCACCTTCTGGGCTGAAGGCGGGTCGCGCAGCAGGCGCAAAGGTAATCGCGCTGTGTACCTCACACACTCGCGATGCCATTGTCGCTTCAGGGGCGGACCCGGATTTTATTGTGGAAGATCTGCGCAGGTTAGTTGTTACTGGGTCCATCCCAGCCGGACATCCCGCTCACTACAATGGACAGGGTATCGGCGAGATGGGTGGAGGGCCGGTTGGAGTTAACGATAGACGATTCGCTGTGGTAGAGTATCTCAACGCAGGTCCGTCTCGAGACCGTCTAGTTGCCATGAATCAAAGGAATGCCCCACCCTTCGTGGTCACGCGCACTTTGTACGAGATTGCGAAGACGAAGTCTTCCGAACGCTCCACTACTTTCCGGTAACATACGGCGAGGCTGGGACATCGACGGCTTTGAGTGGCTACAGAACACTTGCATGGGGATATACACTGCATCACCTGAGGCACGACAAATGCCAGCCATGCAACAGTCCGGCGTCATTCTCTTCCAGTCCCACCCGCTTTGTGCCCGGGCGGTGCCCGAAGGCTCCCCGAAGATCTGAGCAAGCAGTCTTCGATGGAAACATATATCAGCGTGCAGAGCTTTGCTGCCACAGGATACTTGCACTCCCCTCGGCCATTCGCCAGTCACAACATGTCCACCATGTCTCTCGCTCCCCCATTCACAGTCGATTCGGCGCATGCCAAGGTCAAGAAAGCGCAAGATCTCTGGAACACTCAGTACGCGATGCACTCCATGAGCCCGCCCAGGACTGAAGCTTGTACAGGAATCCAGCCAATGTAGCGAAGGCGTACACGGAGAACTCCGTCTGGCGTAACCGGACTTCGTTTATCCGCGGACATATGGAGATCGAAGAGTTCTTGACGAAAAAATGGCAGCGCGAGAAGAACTACCGTCTGCGCAAGGAGCTTGTTCGTGCGATTATTTGTCGTAACACACGCTCTACTGATATAGCTATCGGCAGTTTGCATTTACCGACAACAGAATCGCTGTGCAGTTTTGGTACGAGTTTCAGGACGCACATGACGATATGAAGTGGAAGCGATGCTACGGTCTTGAGGATTGGACATTTGCTGAGGATGGCCGTATGGAGAAGAGACAGATGAGCGGGAACGATCTAGATATCACTGAAGTTGAGAGGTGGTTTGCAGGTGATGTTGATGTCAATACGGTAAAAATTGGAGAGCAGCATTGGTGATTGAGTAGTATTGCTTGTGATTGGCGTACATTGCGACTTGTCTTTGTTCGAATGGTTACTCGCATCATCTGCGTCCATATACGTACGGAGTTGCGAAATGGAGCACCTGAGCAACCTACTTCGACGCGCCTAGTATCAAGGTCATGCTTCGGAGCGCAACACTTGCTATAATCCACAAGCATTGCCACCTTCATCCACCAAGCGGTGATAGCAGGCTGGCTGATCGGAAAGACTGTGCAGCTATCCCCAGCGCACTCTGCCGTCGTAGTAGTCTACAGATAATAGACAGTCCGCCACGGCTATCGGCGCGGGAAGCATCTTCGGGAATGTCGGCCGACACTTCCACCACAAGGACCCACTGAGGCAGTCAATAGTTCATGATGGAGTCACCCTCTTCCGTTCTGGCTTCGACCTCGACCGCCGGCGATATAATTTTGGGTAAGACAGCCCTCCTCCCTCCTCCGATCACGATACCAACGAGTGACCATCCAGGTTTGTCTCGCGTGCCTCCCGAGTGCAAAAGCCGAACGTTCAACGATGCCACGCACGCAACACAGACTATATTCGCCCTCTGGTGATCATTTGCTTGCGTGATCATGTCGGCAGCATCCACCACCCCTCCCCGTTCACGCGATTTTGTGATACGCGTGCCCGCAACGTCCGCGAACATAGGGCCTGGCTTCGATGTGGCTGGCATTTCGCTCGCTCTCTATCTCACCCTGGCGGTGCACTTCGAATCGCCATCGAGCGACTGGTCTCCGACGCGTGCGACCTTCCCTGCGGAGTCTATAAATATCTCATACACAGGCGAGGGCGCAGACGAAGTGCCGCTTGATCCATACAAAAACCTCACGACGCGTGTGGCACTCTACGTCCTCCGCTGCCATAGCATCCCCTTCCTTCCGCCCAACCTCACCATCAAAGTGCACAACGAAATCCCCTTCGGCCGTGGCCTTGGATCCAGCGGAGCAGCAGTCATTGCCGGTGTTCTTCTCGGAGACGCGCTTGGAAAGCTCGAGTTGAACAAAGCGCGCATGCTTGACTTCGCTCTTATGGTTGAGCGCCATCCCGACAACGTCGCTGCCGCTCTTGTTGGCGGATTTGTGGGCTCATATCTTCGCGAGTTGGACCCGGAAGCAACACAAGCAGCCAGCGTTCCTCTAGCAGAGGTGCTCCCCGAGTATCCCCCTGATGCCGGTCCGGAATGGGGCAGAAACCCGCCTGTGCCGCCAGGAGGTATTGGACACTGGGTGCGCTTCAGCGTAACACCCGAGATCAAAGCGGTTGCCATCATACCGCGTTTTGAACTGAGCACAGCTAAAGCTCGCGAGGTGCTCCCAGACATGTACTCACGGAAAGATTTGGTAAGCCAGCAAGTCACGCTACGATGTCCACGAATCTGATCAGTATCGCAGATCTTCAACCTACAGCGACTTGCAGTCCTCACTACCGCGTTGGCCCAGTCACCGCCTGATCCTGAACTCATCTACGAAGCGATGAAAGATCGGGTACACCAACCGTATCGCAAGCCTTTGGTGAGCTTTACAGCACCTACTCTCAGCCTGCGCCAACCGTACTCCAGATCCCGGGTCTTATGGAGGTCACTTCCACAATCACGCCGGCTACGCATCCGGGGCTACTCGGCATCTGTCTATCGGGCGCGGGACCAACCATCCTGGCTCTCGCTACCGGCGGGTTCGAGCGCATAGCAGAGGATGCTCGCAGTTTGTTCTTACAGCAGGGCGTGGAGGTAGATTGGAAACTCCTTGAGATTGTGAAAGAAGGCAGCTCGATTGAGTATGTAAATTAAATGCAAGCTCATTGTCTCTACAACATCCGATGCGTGAGGGAGTCGCTGCTGGGGTGATGTCATGAGATGACCACGACCTTCTGGAACGCCGCATAGCACTCTGTGCAGCCTACATATAGAGGTCAGGGGTCTAATAATTGCCCTCGCTCCTTACGCCATGCCTTTTGCAATGCCATTGTGGTATCGAGCGCCCTTGTGTCAAGTTGTCTTAGTCGGTTCGTCGTCCTCTTCACACCGAGGTGAATCCACTGATGAACAATGCTCGTCTGCCTTTGAAGGTTTCACATTGTTCTGCACCTCCGGTATGTTCAGCGCAGTGTCTAACCTCGGCGCCGGTGGGACAGAAGATATCGCACTATCGGATATGGCCAACGCAGTGCACTACGGCCTTTTTGCTATCGCAGGCCTTTTCGCAGGAGGTGTGACCAATCGTGAGTGTGCTTCTATCTACATGCCGAGGAAAAGTTCCGCGTGAACATCTGTCCTTGCGAGCGTCTGCGGGGTAGATATCGCGCCCATAAGCATTCGAAGGACGTGCTGTGTGGATGAAAAACGCCTGCTGACTTTTGCATGGCCTAGTGCTCGGTGTTCGCCCTACGCTGTTCATTGGGTCGATTGCTTATGCACTCTACATGGGCTCCCTATGGTGTTTTCAGACCGAAGGCACGCGTTGGTTTGTCGTCTTTGCCGATGCAATTATTGGCGTCTCGGCAGCCCTGCTATGGTCCGCACAGGGCGCAGTCATGATGTCGTATCCTTTGGAGAAAGATAAGGGTGAGAACCGACGTTGTTCTAACTCACGCGCGTCAATGACTGATCTTGCTTGCTAGGTAAAGCTTTCGGCATATTCTGGGCTATTTTCAACTTCGGTTCATTCATCGGCGCGATCATTGCGCTTGCGATCAATCTCCAACAGGGCAAGCTTTCCGCTGTATCGACGGGAACGTATCTCGCCTTCCTTATCATCGTGTTCATTGGAGCTGCTTCCTCCCAGCTGGTACTCTCGCCCGCATCTGTTGTCCGCGCCGATGGCTCGCTCGTCAGAGTACAGACCCAGACTTCGCCACAGGAAGAGATACGCTCTTTCTTTGCGCTAATCAAGGACTGGCGCATGCTCGCCCTCGCGCCAATGTTCTTCGCAAGTAACTTTCTTTACGCGTACCAGGGCTCTATCAATACCTTCTACTTCGATGGCCCGACTCGAGCTGTCAACGCCACACTCGAGGGCGCGGGCGCGATCGCAGGAGCGCTCGTCACTGGAGTCGTGATCCTCGACGCACCGCGCCTTAGACGTCGCACGCGGGGGTGGCTGGGCCTCGCATTCGTCGGTACCTGTGTAATTGCCGTATGGACTGGCGCGCTAGTCTGGCAACTAGACTTCACGCGGGGCAGCCATGTCCAGAAGATGTCCTACCACGACAGTGCGTTTGTTGCGAAGGGGGCCCTGTACTTCGCCTTCTATTTCAGCGATTCTGCATATCAGGCCCTGGCGTATTGGATTATGGGCGCTATCACCAATGATCCGTTCAAGCTCGCACGCTACGCTGGTTTCTACAAGGCCATTCAATCTGCGGGAAGCGCGGGATCGTACGGTATGGACGCAGTCGAGACGCCGTTCCTTAATGAGCACGTACGTTGAACACTATCAGGAGTTTAACAACACGACGCTCATACTCGTGCACAGCTGGCTAGCTGGATGATGATGCTCGTCTCACTTCCACTCGCTGGCCTCGTCATTTATCATGTTCACGACACATCATACCAGGACGAGCAAACCGTCTTCGTTGGTGGCACAGGCGTCCAATATACAGAGGCCGAGGTTGATCCAGAACCTGTCAAGGAGAAGGAGGCGCTCGAGTGCCTCGACGTCCATACACCCTCCAAAGATTGAGTAACTCCGGCTGTGATGCATGTACAGTACAGTGATGATGTCCTTCAAACGAGTCGAGCTGTAGCGCGCTCCTGCACATCCTAATATGGTTGACATTGGTCGGGTTGCGGGCCGATACATGTGGCCGTCGGCTGTCAGTGTTTGAAACTTCTATCCTTGCCATCACGGGTCCGGCGCGCGAGCGCTACATGGCATAGGAGTGGGAGCGAGCCTACATTTACGGTTTGGAACAGCTTCTGACGGACTTTGGAGCGCATGGTGCAGCGGGTAGGACTTCCTACATCGTATGCACATACATAGTATATAACAGGGGGCATGGCAGGACCAGTCTGGGGGCCAGCCTCTCTCCACAATGCTTTCACTCCCGACATGGTATCGTTCCCCGATGTGCCAGGTTGTCCTCGTCGGCATAACCTGTTTCTGTACCACGGGCATGTACAGTGCGCTCTCAAACCTCGGGGCCGGAGGAACGCAAGATATCACACTCTCGGATGAGGCCAACGGTGTGCTGTACGGCTGTTTCGCTGTCATGGGCCTCTTCGCTGGAGGGGTCACCAATCGTGAGTACCCAAAGTCCATATGCATTCACCGCATAAGGCGGAGTTGGAGGTCACCAGCGAAAGAAGTGATAGACTGTCAATGTGTGTATTGGCCTGCTGACCATTCTTCTCTTCTCTTCTATACAGTACTCGGAATCAGGATCACCATCTTCCTCGGTACACTAGGATACACGCTATATGCGGGATCGCTCTGGTGCTTCCAGACCCAGGGTACTCGCTGGTTTGTCGTCTTCGCAGGTGCCATACTAGGAATCTCCGCCGCACTACTATGGTCGGCGCAGGGCGCGGTCATGATGTCGTACCCGCTCGAAAAGGACAAGGGTAACGCCACTCTACCGTCTGGCATGGCTCGATCAGAACTCAACATATTGATTAGGGAAAGCATTCGGAGTCTTCTGGGCAATCTTCTCATTCGGCTCGTTCATCGGCTCAGTCATAGCGCTCGCCATTAACATCCGGAGCGGCAGCCTGTCCTCCGTATCGACTGGGACATATGTCGCATTCGTCATCATCATGCTTATTGGCTCAGCGTCTACGATGCTCCTCCTTCCGCCGGCGTCCATCATCCGTCCAGACGGCTCCTTGGTCAAGGTCCAGGAAGCGACCTCGCCTCGCGATGAGATTCGCTCATTCTTGATACTGTTCAAAGATTGGCGCATGCTCGCGCTTACCCCAATGTTCTTCGCGTCGAACTACTTCTACGCGTATCAAGGCGCCATCAATACCTTCTACTTTGACGGCCCGACGCGCGCGGTGAATGCCACCCTCGAGGGAGCAGGGGCCATTGTTGGGGCCCTCATCATCGGCATCGTTGTACTCGACGCGCCGCGCTTCAAGCGACGCACCAGAGGGTGGCTTGGGTTGGCATTCGTCACTGTCGCCGTCATCACTGTATGGTCGTGTGCTCTCGCTTGGCAAGTCAAGTTCACGCGTGCCAGCAACGTTGGGAAGATGTCGTACCACGACGCCGGCTACGCACCTAAAGGCACACTTTTCTTTTTCTTTTACTTCGGGGATGCAGCGTACCAGGCGCTCGCGTACTGGATTATGGGCGCGATCACGAATGATCCTTTCAAGCTTGCGCGTTATGCCGGGTTTTACAAGGCCATTCAATCTGCGGGTGGCGCGGGCTCATATGGCATGGACGCAGTGTCGACGCCATTTCTGAATGAGCATGTGCGAGGAATTTCACCTAGCGCCTTTTGAATCCGAGCTAACACAAGCTCGTAGCTCGCGAGCTGGATTTTGATGCTAGTTTCATTGCCGCTAGCAGGTCTTGTCATCTGGCATGTCCATGACACATCATACCAGGACGAGAAGACAGTGTTCGTTGACGAGGTCAAGGACGAGAAGGTCGAAGAGGGTTCTGTGGGTGTAGACGAAAAAGAGAAAGGAGAGAAAGAGTCACCGACCGAGTACATCTCGTGAACTGCTTCAGACGCTTCGCATATTGTCATCGGGTTCCGGTCGGTGTTGCATTGTAGTTCATGTTGCTTGAAGTCATATACCGGGACTGTAAAATTACTCATCTGCGATGAAATACCACCGCAGTGAGACTGGTCATTATCTTGTGAGTAATCGGGAGCAATAAAGCAAGTGGTGGATGCGTGAGGGGTACAACATAGAGCAGGGATAGGAGAATACGAGCGTGCTATGTTCACGCCGTCCTTCGCTTTTCGGCCTCCCACCTCGCGCGGACAAGGGTGGCACCTTCTGCACGGGCACGCACGAGCGGAGGAAGCATTTGGCGACGTGCCGCCTCGAGATGCGGTGGCAGCAGGTCCTCGTTACGAATGACCTGTACGGTACAATCAGCCACTGTACTCCGAGCGCCAGTCATGTAAGCATACCGATCCAATGGCGAGGAAGAAAGAGAAGCTGGCAGCGCTTCCGAGCATGTATTGAGACAGCGTGGCGAGAGCGCCGTTCGGGCCGGCGCCTCCCCTGCGTGTGGCGCGTTCAGCGATGATACTGGAATCTGGCATAGCTTCGTGCACACCTCAAGATGGTGTAGCCACCGAAGATGAAACCAATGCTGAGACCGACACCGCCACCCATCAGAGCACCCATCCTGTATGCAAGCGTGTGAATTCATAGCCAGCGCGTTCCCAAGTCCAGAGAGCATACTTGACTACGGGCATGGCCGTCAGTACCGTGTCTCGAAGATACAAGAAGTCACGTACGCTTGTCCCAGACGGAGGGTCCTGCAGGTCGGCGAACAGAGGTGGCCATGATGACGGTGGAAATTCAAGCGAGTGCTTGACGTCGACGCAGCGCGCCTCGAAGCCTTGACGCGCACACGGCTCACCTGCTCACGCTTCATCGGGCCGGAATCACGTTCAGGCGCGTCTCTTCCCCGCACGCTCATCATGTCGGGCCGTATACCCTCTTTCCCTCCCGCCCAGCAGGCTCAAATAAGTACGCAAAGTAATGCCCGTCATGTCGATTGGGTCTCGAATAAAAGGCTACAGTTCGAGCGCATCAGCGAGACGTCATTCACGTCGCTTCGCTTCGCGAACAGGCCGAGAATATACTGCGAGCGTGGTTAGGTGCGCCGGGCACGTACCCTCGCACTCCCGGTATTGACGTCCTCTCTAGGCTCAAGGACACTCTCGCGCTATGACAAGGAGATCGAGCTACTCGTGAACCTTGCTTATTTCGGCTTAACTACTGGACGCGGTGCGCATGTGCTGCTGACTGTTCGAGAGTGATTATTGATATGGTCTAGCCATCCAGACTCTGGGTGAAGAATATACCGGTATATGGCAGCATCCATTAAAGTTAAGATTGAAAGGCGTGCAACTCGCGTTGATTCTTTTGCCGACACTACCACAATATCTACTCGCACGTTTCGGGTCCGCACTCAATCAGCGAAGTCTGCTACTGAGGAACGCGGTACAAGCTGCAGTCGGCGTACTGGAAATTGTCGGAGGGTTGAATCTCGCGATATTCTATCTGCGTGGGACGTACTACGACCTTGTACGGCGCGCACTCGGCTTGCGAAGTGTACGTTCGCGCCACATCTTATGATGGGGTACTTTCAATGACATATCACCCTAGGTTTCTGCAACACCAGAGAATCCGCAGTCGCGACCGCCGTCCTACTCACTCCTCGGCGTGCTGATACTCGTTCGACTTCTCTACCGATTGATCTCTCACTTAAAGTCCTCTCAAACGGCTGCGTCTGGGTTAGGCGATGAACAGAAGCGACGTGTTGCGACAACTAGTGGTAGTGTCGAGCCACACATCGACGGACGAACAGTCTCAGAGATTCTCAACGCGCCAGACCCAGATACCGCGCCCACGATACCCGCTGAAGAGGACGAGTCTACCGTTTTGGATGTGGCGAGCATACCCCCGCAGATTCGGGCTGGGCGCACATGCACTCTGTGCTTGGAAGAAAGACGGGGGACGTGCGCAACAGAGTGTGGGCATTTGTTTGACTGGGATTGTATTTACGGATGGGGGCGAGAAAAGGTGCGTCTCGTGCATATCTGGTCCGTGCGCGGGGAGCCAACGATCAACAGTCCGAATGTCCATTATGTCGTCAAGCACTCGACTTGACAAAGTTATTGCCAATACGCAACTTGTAGTAACATCGTCCTCACCTTACGTACATCAGTGCAGTACTGAACACAGAAGGTTTCGCGAGTTGTACATTGGAAGCAAGATGAGCATTATAACACGGAAGCGGAAGTAGGAGCTAGGACTCGGTGATCATTGGATCTGCTGGATGAGAGTAATATTATCGCCCTTCAGCAATACGCGACCTGCGCGGGCTATGTGAGTACGGCCATCATGAGATATGACATGCACTGCGCACCGAGTTCCCTTCGCGGCTTTGCTTCCTTGATATACACTTCCGCTGCCTCATCGATGACAAGGTTCATGAATTCGTCGAAGCCCTACGTGTTGCGATTATCAGCATCAAGTATATGGAAAGGCGTGAAAGGAAGAGGTGCACATCGCATCTGCGGCGCATTTCTGATGAAAGGAGGGTGTAGGAAAGGGATACGGATACGGACACGTACGATAATTCTGCCTTCTATCCGCATGTCAATATTATCATACAGCCAGATGGACACCTTTTGACGCTATGTAGACTGTCAAAACCAACGAGATAAGTGCATGCACTACGGTAGCCACCTGCTGCAGGTTTTTGAAGATTACATTCTGTACTATACATCAGTCGGGCACATCCAGAATAAAGCATTTGGGAGAACGTACGATGGGCTGAACCATCACACGCTGTTGGCGTCCTGACATTTTGCGGATAAAAGAAAGGAATTGGACCGAAAGCGGTAGTTGATGGAGGTGGGAGGCAAGGACGCGTGCGGTCGAAGCGCGTGCCGCGTTGGAATCGTTAGGCGCGCGCGCGACGCGTCTACGACTTGTTTCCAACCGCCGTCCTCCGCCAAACGCCATGGAGGTCTGTCCGACGCGATTTATCACACAATAAAATATCTCAATGCTTAAAACAGGTTCTGGCACCCAACAACTCGTCTACCGCGGCGGCGGTGACGTTCATCACATTCGTACAAGACCTCAAGCGCAAGACCAAGGCATGGGGACCCATGATCGAGCTCTGTGCATCGGGCGAGAAGACGCTCGAGCGTTTCAGATACCAATTCCCAGACGACTGGCTGTACTCGGACCAACTACGCGGAGAGTGGAGCGCCTACAACGAGATCCTCAAGCGCAAGAACGACTCGATCCAGGAGCAGCTCGGTGCGTAGCAACGTCTCTGGCACTGATGCGCTTATGTAATATATCGTTATAGCCGGCTTACAACTGAAGATTGTCGCTGAGGACAAGATCGTAGAGAACAAGATCAACGACGTGCTCGCAGAGTGGGAGCAGACTCGGCCAGTCCAGGGCAACATGCGCGCGGATACGGCCATGAACACCATCAATGTCTTCGAGGGAAAGCTCTCGCGTGTACAGGAAGAGTACGATCTCGTCTGCCGCGCCAAAGAAGCTCTCGACCTTGAGCTCGTACGGCATACCCGGCTCGAGCCCGTATTTGAGGAATTGCGCGACCTCAAAGCGGTCTGGACAGCGCTGTCGGGGATATGGAGCCAGATCGGAGAGCTGCGAGAGCTTTCTTGGGCGACCGTTCAGCCAAGGAAGTTGAGGCAGCAGATTGACGGTCTACTGAGCAGTACTAAGGATATGCCCACGCGCATGCGCCAGTACGCCGCGTTCGAGTATGTCCAGGAGGTCCTCCGTGGTCTGCTCAAATCCAACTCCCTCGTCGGCGACCTCAAGAGCGACGCTCTCAAGGACAGACATTGGCGGCAACTTTTCAAGAACCTCAAGACGGCCTCGCAGCCCACTTTGACGCTGTATGTATCGCTTGTGAATGTAACGATGCCACCAAACGCTGACCGAACGTATCCCAGGCTGACACTAGGCAACGTCTACGACCTGGACCTCAAGAAGAACGAAGCTCTCATTCGAGAGGTCATTGTACAGGCGCAAGGAGAGGTAAATGATCGTATGTGTCAGGCTCTTCTTTCGCTCACTTTCGGCACCTAGATGGCTCTCGAGGATTACATCAAGCAAGTCAAGGAGACATGGAGCAATTACGCCCTGGACCTTGTGAACTACCAGAATAAGTGTCGCCTGATCCGGTAAGCGCGATTCTACGAGCTTGAATTTGCATTGACGAAGTTGCGCAGTGGCTGGGATGACTTATTCAATAAGTGTGGTGAGAACTTGAACTTCCTCGTGGCGATGAAGCTTTCACCATACTACAAGGGTAGGTTCGAATGATCATTTGGTGCACGCTGCTTCTAACGCGCATTTTAGTATTCGAGGAGGAGGCTAGCTCTTGGGAAGAAAAGCTGAACCGAATCCATGTCTTGTTCGGTCTGTAGCGTCATCGCTCACAACTCGAATATATGATACTGACTGTGGGTACAGATGTCTGGATTGACGTCCAACGCCAATGGGTTTATCTCGAGGGTATCTTCTCCGGCAGCGCAGATATCAAGCATCTACTGCCGGTTGAGAGCGCCCGATTCCAGAACATCAATACCGAGTTCCTCGCTGTCATGAAGAAGGTGTACAAATCGCCCTTCGTGCTCGACGTCATGAACATCCCTCAGATCCAGAAGTCGTTGGAGCGCCTTGCCGACCTTTTGAACAAGATACAGAAGGCTCTCGGAGAGTACCTCGAGCGCGAGCGTGCCTCTTTCCCGCGCTTCTACTTTGTTGGTGACGAGGACCTGCTCGAGATCATCGGCAATAGCAAGGATATTCTGCGGATCATGAAGCACCTCAAGAAGATGTTCGCCGGTATCGCAACCGTACGGCTAGACGACGACTTGACGCAGATTCAAGCCATGTCATCGCGCGAGGGCGAGGAAGTCGTCTTCTACGAGCCTATCCTGCTCAAGGATTACCCGAAGATCAATGATTGGCTCTCGCGAATCGAGTACTCAATGCGCATCTCCCTCGCGCACCTCTTGACAGACGCCGTCGACGAGTTACAAGAGTTCTACACCGCTGGCGCAACAATTCCCACCGATCGGTTTCTCGCTTGGACGGAGAAGTTCCCGGCTCAGCTGGTCACGCTCGCCATTCAGGTAGCATGGACGACGACGATCGAGACCGCCTTCGAGAGCGGGGCTCCACTAGATGGCCCGTTGGACATCGTGCGGCAGAGTTTGGACCTTCTCGCGGACGTTGTGCTCACGGAACTGAGCCCCGTCACGCGCCGCAAGTGCGAGCATCTCATCACCGAGCTCGTGCATCAACGTGACGTGACGCGCTCCCTGATTCAACAGCGCGCGAGCAACAACAAGACTTTCGCCTGGCTGTACCAGATGCGTTTCTATCTAGACCGTACTCAAGAGCCCCTCGAGCGTTTGGCCATCCGCGTCGCCGATGCCACCTTCCCATACGGATGGGAGTACCTAGGTGTACCCGACCGCCTCGTTCAGACGCCTCTTACGGATCGTTGCTACCTCACGCTCACGCAAGCACTTGACAACCAGCTTGGCGGCGCACCCTTCGGACCCGCAGGCACAGGCAAGACCGAGTCTGTCAAAGCCCTCGGTGTCCAGCTCGGTCGCTTTGTGCTAGTCTTCTGCTGTGACGAGACGTTCGATTTTCAGGCCATGGGTCGTATTTTCGTTGGATTGTGTCAGGTCGGCGCGTGGGGATGCTTTGACGAGTTCAATCGGCTGGAGGAGAGGATTTTGAGTGCTGTCAGTCAGCAGGTACAGAGCATTCAGCAAGGTCTTGCGGCATTAGTGAAGAATCCAAACGCGGAGATCGAGTTGGTTGGGAAGAGTCTCAAGATCAACAAGAACATCGGTAAGTCTATCTTGTCCCAGGAATATTCATCATGCTCACAGACCGATAGGTATCTTCATCACCACCAATCCGACATATGCCGGTCGTTCACAATTGCCGCCGAATTTGACGAAGCTCTTCAGGCCGATGGCTATGACCCGTCCAGACCGCGAGCTCATCGCACAAGTCATGCTATTCTCGCAAGGTTTTCGTACTGCCGAGTCCCTTGCCTCCAAGATCGTTCCCTTCTTCAACTTGTGCGATGAACAACTTTCCCCGCAGCCCCACTATGACTTCGGTCTGCGCGCACTCAAGGCTGTACTTGCGAGTGCCGGTATTCTCAAGCGTGAACGCATGCAGCTGGCGCGCGAGGCAGGCGAGAACTTCGACGTCGGCGGTATCTCGGACGCCACCTCAGAGCAGGTTATCGTCATCCAGAGCGTCACCGAGACAATCGTGCCGAAGCTTGTCGCGGACGATGTACCTCTCTTGACATCGCTCCTTGCCGATGTATTCCCCGGCACGGAGTATGTCCCTGTCGACCTCGGTGCCCTCCGCGAACACATCGGGAAAGTCTGTGACGAACGCAGACTTGTGCAAGGCGAGCGCTGGATTAGCAAGATCCTTCAGCTGTACCAGATCCAGAAGATTCAGCATGGTCTTATGATGGTCGGCCCATCCGGTAGCGGCAAGACGAACGCGTGGCAGGTCCTACTCGCTGCCCTTGAGCGACTGGATGGCGTCGAAGGTGTTGCGTATGTTATCGACCCTAAGGCGATGCACAAGGACGCGCTATACGGAACTCTTGATCAAACGACACGCGAGTGGAACGATGGGCTCTTTACGCACGTGTTGCGTAAGATCGTGGACGATGTTCGTGGAGAGAGCGCAAAGCGGCACTGGATAATCTTCGACGGCGATGTCGACCCTGAGTGGGTTGAAAACTTGAACAGGTACGTCCAATAGTCGCACCACTATTTGGTGGTTACTGATTATATCCACAGTGTTCTCGACGACAATAAGCTTCTAACGTTGCCGAACGGTGAACGTCTGAACTTACCATCAAACGTCCGCATCATGTTCGAGGTCGAGCACCTCCGTTATGCCACCCTTGCTACTGTCAGTCGCTGTGGAATGATCTGGTTCAGCGAGGATGTCGTTGAGCCGTCAATGGCCTACCGCCAGTACCTCACTGCACTCGCCACTGTACCGATAGACGCAGAAGACGAGGACGCTGCTGAGCTTCCTGGGCGGCGTCCAGCGGACGACAATGCGGCCACCAGTGCCAATCTCATCACGCAGAAGGAGATCGCGACCATTCTGGAGCCTTACTTCGCCGATGGCGAACTGGTCAGCGCGGCACTCGGCTATGCATCGTCCATTGAACACATCATGGATTTCACGGACACGCGCGCCCTCAACACACTGTTCTCGCTCCTGAACAAGACCGTTCGCAACGTACTTGAGTACAACTCGCAGCACCCCGACTTCCCCCTTGCGCCCGATCGCGTCGAGCAGTACGTCTCAAAGCGCCTACTCGTCAGTCTAGTCTGGGCATTCTCTGGAGACGCCAAGCTTGACTTGCGCGCGGAACTGGGCAACTTTCTCGCGAAGCAAACCGGCATTGATCTACCTCCGTTACAGCCAGGGAGCTCGCTCATTGACTACGATGTTCAAGTCGGCTCCGGCGATTGGGCGGCATGGGCGGGCAAGGTACCGCAGATCGAGATCGAGCCTCACGCCGTCACTGCGTCGGACGTGGTCGTGCCCACTATGGACACTGTGCGCCACGAGGAGGTCTTGTACTCCTGGCTATCAGAGCACAAGCCGCTCATGCTCTGCGGTCCCCCCGGTTCCGGAAAGACGATGACGCTCTTCAGCGCGCTCCGCAAACTCCCGGATATGGAGGTCGTAGGCCTGAACTTCTCGAGTGCAACGACGCCCGAGCTCATCCTGAAAACCTTCGAGCAGTATTGCGAGTATCGCAAGACGCCCAACGGGGTCATTCTCGCTCCCATTCAGCTCGGCCGCTGGCTCGTCGTATTCTGTGATGAGATCAACCTGCCCGCAGCGGACAAGTACGGCACGCAGCGCGTCATTTCCTTCATCCGTCAACTCGTCGAGTGCGGTGGGTACTGGCGCACAACGGACATGTCCTGGGTCAAGCTAGAGCGCATCCAATTCGTCGGCGCGTGCAATCCGCCTACTGATCCCGGTCGCGTGCCGCTCAGTCATCGTTTCCTTCGTCATGCGCCACTTGTCATGGTCGACTATCCTGGAGAGGTTTCCCTCAAGCAGATCTACGGCACCTACGTTCGCGCGATTCTCAAAGTCGTTCCGAATCTCCGCGGTCATGCAGAGCCACTCACAGACGCTATGGTCATGTTCTATCTCGCGTCGCAGAAGCGCTTTACGACCGACATGCAAGCGCATTACGTATACAGTCCGCGTGAGCTCACACGCTGGGTGCGTGGCATCTACGAGGCGATTCGACCACTCGAGGTACTGAGCGTGGAAGGTCTGGTACGCGTATGGGCCCACGAGTGTTTGCGCTTGTTCCAGGACCGTCTTGTTTCTGAGGAGGAGAGGCAATGGACCGACGAGAGGATCGACCAGATGGCGATGGAACACTTCCCCACGATCAACCAGGAGGAGGCCCTCATGCGGCCTATCTTGTTTTCTAACTGGATGTCAAAGAACTACATGCCGATCGACCGCGAACAACTGCGCGAGTACACCAAAGCTCGTCTGCGTGTATTCTACGAGGAAGAACTAGACGTGCCGCTGGTGTTGTTCAATGACGTGCTCGACCATGTTCTTCGTATCGACCGTGTCTTCCGCCAGATTCAGGGCCACATGCTGCTCATCGGTGTTAGTGGTAGTGGAAAAGTGAGTATGCTTGACGCAGGATGTTTGCCAATTACTGATCATGTGTCTAGACCACGCTATCGCGCTTCGTCGCCTGGATGAACGGCCTCAGCATCTTCCAGATCAAGGTTTCCAACAAGTATACCGGTGACGACTTCGACGAGGACCTGCGTATAGTGCTCAAGCGTTCCGGTACGAAGGGCGAGAAGATCTGCTTCATCATGGACGAATCCAACGTCCTCGACTCCGGTTTCCTCGAGCGCATGAACACGCTCTTAGCGAACGCCGAGGTCCCGGGTCTGTTTGAAGGCGACGAGCACGCTGCACTCATGACAGCCTGCAAGGAGGGCTCGCAGCGCGACGGCTTGATGCTTGACTCACACGAAGAACTGTACCGCTGGTTCACGCAACAAGTCGCAAAGAACCTCCATGTCGTCTTCACCATGAACCCACCGGAGAATGGACTTGCATCTCGCGCCGCGACATCGCCCGCCTTGTTCAATCGCTGCGTGCTGGACTGGTTCGGTGACTGGTCCGACCAGGCATTCTACCAGGTTGGCATGGAGTTCACGCACACCCTCGATCTCGATCTCTCGTCATACTCCCCGCCTGCACACTTCCCCATCGCGTACCGCGAGCTCTCTTTGCCGCCCATCCACCGCACAGCCGTCGTGAACGCGCTCGTCTTTGTGCACATGTCGATGTACCAGATTAACCAGCGCCTCAGTCGGCGTCAAGGCCGGTACAACTACGTCACGCCTCGACACTACCTCGACTTGTACGTTCATTCCGATCAGAAACACCTGCGATATATATCTGACTCATTGACAGCATCAACCACTACGTCCGTCTCTATAATGAGAAGCGCGACGAGCTCGAGGAACAGCAGCGTCACTTGCACGTCGGGCTCGATAAGCTCCGCGATACGGTCACTCAAGTCGAAGATCTGCGGAAGAGTCTCGCGGTCAAGCGCACACAGCTCGAGGCGAAGGACAAGGAGGCCAACGAGAAGCTGCAGCAGATGGTCCGCGATCAGCAGGACGCTGAGCAAAAGAAGGCGGCATCGATCGAGATCCAGGCCGCCCTCGTCGAGCAAGATAAGAACATCGAGCAGCGCAAGTCTGTCGTCATGGCCGATCTCGCCGACGCCGAGCCGGCCGTGCTCGACGCGCAGGCTGCCGTCAGCAGCATCAAACGTCAGCATCTGCAGGAAGTCCGTGCTATGGCGAACCCTCCTGAGCCCGTCAAGCTCACCATGGAGTCCGTCTGTACTGTCCTCGGCCACAAGATCGATAGCTGGCGTACCGTCCAGGGACTCATCCGTCGTGACGATTTCATTCAGCGCATCGTCAACTTCGACACGGCGAACCAGATGACGCGCCATGTCCGCGAAACGATGAAGAAGAACTTCCTGAGTCACCCGTCCTTCAACTACGAGACGGTCAACCGAGCATCGAAGGCGTGTGGTCCGCTCGTCAAATGGGTCATTGCGCAGGTCCGCTTCTCCGAGATTCTCGACCGTGTCGAACCACTTCGCAACGAGGTGCAATCTCTTGAGGACCAGGCGGAGCAGACGAAGCAGCAGGCGTCGACTATCATCAACATGATCAAGGAGTTGGAAGCCAGCATTGAGCGCTATAAGGGCGAGTACGCTCTCTTGATTAGTCAGACCCAGGCTATTAGGAGCGAGATGGAGCGTGTGCAGAGCAAGGTCGACCGCTCGATGCAACTACTCGAGAGTTTGTCCTCAGAGCGCGTCCGTTGGGAGGCAGGTAGCGCGACATTCGATGCGGAAATGAGCACTATCGTCGGTGACGTCTTGCTCTCCGCCGCGTTCCTCGCCTATGGTGGCTTCTTCGATCAGGCGTACCGCGAGGGCATGTGGCATGAATGGACCAGCCATCTCATGGAGGCGAACGTGAAGTTCAAGCCCGAACTCGGCTTCACTGAATACCTCTCAACCGCCGACGACCGGCTTAGTTGGCAGTCAAAGGGCCTTCCCTCCGACAACCTCTTTACGGAAAACGCCATCATGCTCAAGCGCTTCAGCCGCTATCCGCTCATCATCGACCCTACAGGTCAGGCAACGAACTTCCTACTCAACGAATACAAGGAGCGCAAGATCACCGTCACGAGCTTCCTCGACGAGGCCTTCCTCAAGGTCCTCGAGAGTGCTCTGCGTTTCGGAAATGCGCTGCTCATTCAGGATGTCGAGCATCTTGACCCTATCCTGAATGCCGTTCTCAACAAAGAGATCCGTCGCACTGGTGGCCGTGTTCTCATACGGCTTGGCAGCCAAGACATCGACTTCTCGCCATCGTTTACGATGTTCCTCACAACACGTGATCCGTCCGTCGAGTTCTCTCCGGATATCTGCAGTCGTGTCACATTCGTCAACTTCACGATGACAAGGAGCAGTTTGCAGAGCCAGTCGCTAGATCAAGTGCTTAAGGTTGAGCGCCCCGACACGGAGCAGAAGCGCACGGACCTCATGAAGGTCCAGGGCGAATTCCGAGTGCGCTTGCGCACGCTCGAGAAGTTGCTTTTGCAAGCGCTCAACGAGTCAACCGGCAACATTCTCGACGACGACAAGGTCATTGATACGCTGGAGACTTTGAAGAGGGAGGCTGCCGAGATTACTCGCAAGGTCGAGGAGACAGACGTGATCATGAAAGAAGTTGAACAAGTCACAGCGGAATACCTGCCCATTGCGCAAGCATGCAGCGCTGTATTCTTCGTTCTCGAACAGCTCAATCTCGTCAATCACTTCTACCAGTTCTCCTTGCACTTCTTCCTCGAGATCTTCGAACACGTCCTGCACCACAACCCGCATCTCCAAGGCGTCACGGATCACGCTGCACGCCGGGAGATACTTCTCAAGGACCTCTTCCTCATCATCTACAAGCGCACGTCTCGCGCACTCCTGCATCGTGACCACGTCATGCTCGCTGTGCTTCTCGCTCAAGTTAAACTACGAGGCATCGAGGACATCGCGGACGAGCTTGAGTTCCTGCTTGAAGCGGGCGATCCGGCAGTGGCAACGGAGATTGAGAAACCTATCGCAGGCCTCACTGCAGACCAACAACGCCGTCTGGAGTTCTACGCGAAACAGACTCTCTTCAAGCCCGTACAAACGCACGTCCTTGATCACGAGGATCAATGGGCTGAATGGGTCAAGTCTCCGCAGCCTGAGAAGTCCGTTCCGGCACCCTGGGAGCCTGGCACTCGTGCGTATTCATAGCCTATCTCCATGATATGAGTACTGACGTCGCGTGCAGCCGCTCTGGAGGCCATACGATCGGTGCTCATTATCCGATGCCTTCGCCCAGATCGCCTCCTGCAGGCTCTTTCGCCTTTCGTGCAAACCGTCTTCGAAGTCGACATGGCGGGAGAATCTTCTTACGACTTGGGAACCGTGGTCAACGAGGAGGTGAAATCGCAAACGCCGTTGGCACTCGTCTCCGTACCGGGTTACGATGCAAGCTACCGCGTCGAGAGCTTGGTTCAGACAACGCAGACTCGTTGTTCCTCTGTGGCCATGGGCTCGCAAGAGGGTTTCGCTTTGGCCGATCAAGCCATCGGTGTTGCCTCACGCCAAGGCACTTGGGTCCTGCTCAAGAACGTCCATCTCGCACCATCATGGCTCGGCCAGTTGGAGAAGAAGCTGCAAACGCTCAATGCGCACCGCAATTTCCGTGTTTTCCTCACTATGGAGGCAAACCCATCCATCCCTGTCAACATTCTCCGCCAATCGCGCATCTTCATGAACGAGCCACCTCCCGGTATCAAGGCCAACCTATCCGACTCGTTGCGCTCCATTGGACCAGGTCGTCTGTCACAAGGCCCGGCCGAGAAAGTTCGGTTATACTTCCTGCTTGCCTGGTTCCATGCCGTCGTGCAGGAGCGTTTGCGCTACGTACCTCTTGGTTGGAGCAAGTCGTACGATTTCAACGACTCAGACATGGCCTCCGCATTCACCACTATCGACCACTGGTTGCATTCCATCGCGAAGGGGCGCGCGAACGTCGACCCAGCCCAAATCCCCTGGGATGCTATCCGGACACTCGTGAAGCAGTCTGTGTATGGTGGTCGTGTAGACAGCGACTTTGATCAGCGCATTTTGGACGCCTTTGTCGACGGTCTATTTACGCCTGCTGCTTACAACGTGGATTTCGATCTGGTCTCGAGCAACAACGCGGCACACATGCTGACAGCACCGGACGGCACGAAACTGGACAACTTCCTTGCCTGGGTCAAGGGTCTGCCTGACCGTGAACCACCGTCCTGGCTAAGCTTGCCACCTACGGCTGAGCGTGTCATTGCCATCTCGCAGGGTTTGTTTGATTGTTAAACCATCAGAGTCAATTTGCTGACATAAGCAATAGGTAACGAGCTTCTCGGCAAACTCCGCAAGATGCGCACGCTTGCAGACGATGAGGAGGATGCATCAACGAGCGGACCCGCAAGCGCGTCTGCCTCACAGCAGCCAGCATGGATGCGCACTCTACATGATCGCAGCAAGGAATGGCTTGAACAGCTCCCTCAGGCATGTTCCCTCGCTCTCAGTACTGGCATGCGGACTTACAGTGTAGCAGAACTTCAATACGCTGCAGAAGCAGTCGGGCGACAACCAAGACCCTCTCTTCCGTCTCTTCGCGCGCGAGGGTGGTATCGGCGCTAAGCTACTTCGCTCAGTACGCAAGGATCTCGCGGATATCGTGCTCGTCTGCAAGGGCGAACTCAAGCAGACGAATCATCTGCGCACGCTCATGAGCTCTCTGACGAAGGGTGCGTGTTGGAGCTTTCGCGAGATTGAATAGGACTTATGATAGCTACAGGCACCATCCCCGACCACTGGCGGAGATACAAGGTTCACAAGAACATGTCCGTGTCAGAGTGGGTACCCGACCTCGCGAGGCGACTCGCGCAGTTGGATACTATCGCGGGTCTCGACAACCTCTCGAACGTCGAGGTTTGGTTGGGTGGCTTGTTCTTCCCCGAGGCATACATCACTGCGACGCGCCAGGCCGTCGCGCACCGCAAGAAATGGTCGCTAGAGACTCTGCATATGCGCCTCGACATTGAACGTGTAAACGACCCTGGCGCTTTCATTGTGGACGGTGAGCACGCTGTTCTTCATGTTACTCTGACTCGTACTCACACGCTCATTACTAGGGCTTGTGCTTGAGGGTGCATCGTGGGTCGAGGAACAACTCGTTCTCAACCAGGGCGAGTCCGTCCGCCTCAACCCATCGCAGATACGTTGGATCCAGATCGAGGACGTCTCGGCGGCGGATACCTCTGGGCTCGTCAATTTACCCGTATACCTCAATAACGATCGCTCGGATGTGCTCTTCACGCTTGACTTGCCATTCGAAGGTGCTTCTGCGGCTCAGGTTGCGACTCGCGCTGTCTGCTTGACGGCGGGCGGCTAGATGGTGCGATCATCGGAAGGGTGTTGCTTTTTGTCTTGTTACGATATCATCGGCTCTGGCTGTTGCTCTCTCCTTGCTCTGACGTACATATTCTCCCCTTCATACATACCCGACGGATGACTTGATGCATGTATGACCTTATGTTACCGTTTTATAAACTTCCTCCTTCTCTCCCAACGGCCTGGGTGATGTACTAGGAAGTGCCAGCATAAAAAACCTGCTCACACCGTACAGCAGGGTCGACATCCATAATGACCCTGAAGTTAGTAAATCGCCTCTCGCAGAGTCTATGGAGGTACATAGTGGGACAAGTTGCGGAATTTATCGATTGGGCGATCTGTGCACCATCAGGTGTACGCGAAGGACGGGGTGATGCGGAATTGTCATCAAAACATATCCGCAGAAAAGCAGTGCAACCTAGCGTACATCAGAACCAGCATGTACATATAGTCCGTACAGTATGCGAGTAGGTGCAAAGAGATAGAGAAAAGAATGATGATGAGATGAAGCGAGATCATACGGAGCCCGCAAGCGGGTGTCGGAATGGATCTGAATCTCGTGCACAAGCTAAAAGAAGAAAAGACTCGGCGGTACAAAAGCACAGGCGCTCTCTGATCTGAGTAAAGGGGTAGAATGGAAGGTGAAAGAACAGACCAACGTCGAGGGCGACAGGCAGAAGAAGCCCGCATGCCGGCTGAGGGCGAACGCAAAGAACAGCCCAGTGTCCAGCGCGTCCAGATGAACATCGAATGGACAAGAGCACCACTAGGGAGCGCTCATCTTCCTCGTCCAAAACACACGCTTCGCACTAGACCTTCTCGCGAGTCCCCCATCCTGTGCCACCGGACCATCGCGATGATGAGGTGGCATCTTGCGAAGCTTCCCACGCGCCTCCTCCCTCTCCAGCCGTTCAAGCTCCTCTTGCTGCTTCAGCGCCGCCTCCCGCGCGACGCGCATATCCCGTAGAGATGATGCGCGTGCGAGCGGCATTGGTCCGGAGATGACAGGCTTTGCCGGTTCGGCTTTCTCCTTCCACAGGAAGCAGCGCCTAAGCAAAGATTCCTTCTCCTTCTCTCGTTGCTTCTCCTGCTCTCGTTCCTTAGCGCTCGGACCATGCGACTCAGCGCCCCGACGCCTCTCGTGATTTATTCCCTCATCCCCTTGCCTCGCCCGTGCTTCCCGGACTTCGTACCACGTCGGACGCGCGTATGTTTCGACCTCGCCGTCGGGCGATTCGATCATACACTCGTCCGGGATGCGATACGACCGTACATCTGAGCGGCGGGCGAACTTGACCGACGTCTTTCGCGTCGTCTTCGCTCCCACGTCAGAGAGTGGCAAGCGCGAGTCAGAGCGCAGGATCGAGCGTGGCACGGACTGAGTCGACGGTGGACGAGGGCGCAGAGACTTTGGTGTGGGTGTACTGGGGCGAAGGTTGGTGTTGATGCTCAGAGAAGGAGAAGTAGGTCGCGCAGCGACTGCTGAGGATGTTTCGGGCTGAAAGCGCACGGAGGGACGCGGCCGCAATGTGTGGGATTTGTGTGGGACCGAAGGGGACGCAGGCGAATAAATAGCTCGTGAAGGCGGGCATGGTGGCATATCTGAGTCTGGCAGGAGAGTGGATAATTTCACCAGCGGCGAGGAATCAAGTATCGAAGTCGCTCCTTGAGAGGCTGAAGAACGTAGTGGTACAGAGGCATGCGAGAGCGGTCTTGGTCGAGGCGTCGACGACCGAGAATCATCGTCAAGATGAGGGTGCAACCGCTGTCCGCGCATCGGAGACAACGCGCGAGGCGTCGTGCGCCCGAAGATGGGGTTCTCGGGCTCCGAGCGCGGCCAGTGCGAGTGCAGCAGCGAGGTGAGGAGGGCACGCGTTTGCGGCGTCTCGTCGGTCGACACGGGCCGGCGCCGTTGCCGGTTCAGCCAGAGACGCGGCTTTGGCGCTGCGACGGCCGGTACCGGCGATGATGACGGTGGCGGCGGAAGGAGTGCATGGGCAGATGCGGAGGGAGAGCCAGGGGTACCGGAAGAGGTGCTTGCCGGGGTCGAGGGCTCAGAATCGTCAGAGAATATGGGCTGTGGGTATGATCAGCGGTACATCACAAGCGCTGGGATGATGCAAGACGTACGAGGTTATATTCTAAATGAAGCATAACATGTTCGTCAGGCGGATAGTCATAGAGCTCTGGCTGTGCTCGGATGAGCAGAGGCCCTGTGAGTATGAACGGGCACGTACCTTGCTGTCCGCTGCTGTCAATCCCGTCGACGTCGATGCCTGACTGAAGAGCTATTCCCATGGCATCAGCGTGAGTCTTGGGTAACACAAGCATGGAACCTACCGAATCAGCATGGCTCGACGCCTCGGAAGACCGGCGGGTGTGCATGGATGCAGCCATACGAAGTGTGCGGCGTAGATGGTAGGGACAAAGGACACTCGAAAGGCAAAAGCCCAAGCGCACGCCTACAAACTGACAGAACATGAGCAACGAGGTCGGGAGGACTACACAGTTTTCCTGGGATAATCGATGACTCACCGACGGGAAAAAGGTCGTGGAACGAAAATCAGGCGGGAAGGGCGGACGTTGACAGGCCTCGCAGCGCGGATATATCTAGGAGGACAACACGTGTAGACGGCCATGCGGACCTTCGTTTACGCACGTCGGAAAGCTGGAGGGAGGGGCGGGCGCTTGAAGGGGACATGCGGTGTACGCGTGTGTGGATGGGCTTGACGCGTCTTATCATTCGCACTGCGATGGGAGGATGACGAGCTTACGTGTGCATATAGTCGGCATTGTTGGGAACATCATCGCGTTTCAGCGAGAATCCCGGGGTAAGCAGTACGTTCTCACTGCATCCGCCCATTCCGAGGCACTCAAAGAATATGTATATTGATCTTCAAAGCCTATAGCCTGTAGGCGACCGTGTGTCATTGTGCGGGTTGATCTCAATCGATTGGCTCTACTTACATGCTTGTACGCGCAGGCTCAAGATGGGGGACCCTTCCGTCCGGACCGTCCTGGGCTTCTAATGTAGGATTCGTAGAAAATGGAAAGAGACCAGAAGCGGTAGAAGTTCGCTTCAGAGTCGGCGTATGACGAACACGCTGAAGCGGCGTACGGGATGGCCCGTTAGGGCACAGCTGCCTGACCATACATTGCCCGTTGGGTATACGCAGGACCTTGGGGGTTCAATCAGGGTTCGTGTATTGAACTTTAGTGCGGCTTTGGCTCGAGACGCTCTAGCACAGCGTCGGGGACGGAGAACGATGACATTGTTCAGGATTCCCACCATCATTAAGGATTACTGTAGCATTAATAGCATGAATCTAGAGGAGAGTCGGTCAAACGTAGTTTGCGCGAGAGGGGTGATGTTTCCTACAGTATACTACAGAGGCGTGTAGACACGGAGTATCAGCCAGGGGCTCAGATCTGATATGGCTGGTCATGAAGCCCGCTCCAGATGCCTCTCGCCGACTCTGTGGTGCTGACGACGGTCCTGCGCTTGAGAGGTACAATCCTGGCGCCCGAGGAGTCCAGTAGCAGTTGCACTTTGTTGGCAACACCATTCGTCTCGAACCCGTTCAATGGGACGACCTTCTCGTTGTCATTCACTGTATAACATGTGAACTGGTTGCGCATGTGGACACGAGTGGGGGTACGGACGGTAGAAGCCACGAGCAATGGGCTGTTTGTTCTTCCTCTCCTTTACGACAAACTCGACGTGGGGGTGTCTGCGTGCGACGTCCTCGAGGTGGTTGTGGAGGTAGGTGCGGAGGTTGTGTGAGGAGGGCCAGTGGGGGCAGAACTCGAAGACGACCTTGCGGACTTGGGGGATGAACGTTGCCGCCCCGTTTGCCGGCCTGGACGACAATCGGGCGCGCAATATAGGTTTCGCGATGTGGGACGCCATCTGGTGGTCGGAGGCCGAGGGCCAGCGCAGAGTGGTTCGCGTCCAGTTGGGATTCCCACGGGTCGAATATTCTCCGTTTGGCGCGGCGAGGTCGTTCTTCTGACCCAACGACCGTCCCGCGCGTGCAGGCCAGGGAACAGAAACGCGCCGCGACGCGTCCCAGCACTTCCGGTACACTCTCTTACACCGCCACCGCTCGTGCGACGGAATTGATATTTTACCTGTGGTCGGGATGGCGCGCGCGACACGTTCGTCGAACAAGAACGAGGAAAAACCAAAGGAAAACCCTCCCGAACAGCCAAAGGTCGCCGCGAAGGGCGCAGGCAAGAAGCGGAAGCGCGTCTCGGACGTTAACCCCGACGAGCAGCCCGCCTCGAAGCTGCCCAAGAACGACACGTCCATCAAGGAGGAGGACGTCCAGGACAGCCTCCCCCTCGTCCAGCCAGGCGCAGGAGACGTCCCCCTCGACGCGCACAACGCCCAGCGCATACTCGCCATCCTCGAAAGGTCTGTCGCTTTTGGCACCACTGTCGCGTGCGAATATTGAAGGGTGGATAATAGGATTGACACCCAGGGACTGCTCGACCGCGAGTTTCCTCTGCCGTCCGAGGCGCTGCTCACCGATCCACAACCCTCGAACCTGCCTCGCACGTACTCCTTCCGCGCCCTCCTCAAGGACGCCCCTCGCCATTCCCTCCGCGTCTTGCATGTAAGTCCACGCGTTTCCCCGCCCGATACGGCCGGTTGCCATTCTCGGCCTCGACCGACCACCCATATCTTTCTACCTTTACTGACACCACTCCAATACAGGCTGCAGTCAAACCACTCTTCCCCGTATTCTCCCATCCGCGTTCTCGCCCATCCGGTCCCGCAGCACAGCAATTGAAGTTCTGCACCCTCGCCCGCCAACTGCTCGACCAAGCGTCGCACGGCCTCAACCCAACTGTTGGCTCTCTCGAGACGCTCATCCCGAGGCCCGATGATGATGCCCCGTCAGCTTCCTCACATGTTGCACACTCCCGGAGATACGCTCTGATGCAGAAGCTCCCCAACGGCGAATGGTGGTCGTCCTTGAACTCGCCCGCATCAGACCCGAACGAGCTCAAGGACCTCATCACCGGCCACGCAGAGCTCGTCGCTATTCTGCCGAGCCCGCCTGGAACACTCGAGAGCGTGCCGACGCTCGGCGATTACACTCGCCCCAGGGCGTCAACTTCGACCCGCCCCCTACCCGGCAAGCCCCAAGCCAGCCGACGCATCACTGCGGGTGCATTCTTGGACTATGGGCTCTACGCGAGCTTCGCGCCGACGTTCGACCAGGATGGCTCCGAAGTCGGACGTGTGCAAATGGGCGAAGTGTTGTGGGAGGAACGGAAGCGAAGACTCGCGAGGTCTCTGAACTCGAATGGCTCCACCAGGGCCGCCGCGATTGAAGTCCCCGCCGTCTCCGAGGAGGATGTGGAGATGTCCGAGCCCGAAACGGCGACCGGACCTGCCATTGATCCGTTGTTGGAAGGGTTGGGAGAAGTCGAGGAGAAGGACGAGCTTGAGGGCTTGACCGGGATTCTCCCGCCGGAGGAGGTGGAGGCGGTCCGGGCTACGTTGACGGAGCTGGAAATCGAGCGCGGCGTGGAAGAGTTGTTGGAGAGGACGTCCAAGGCGCTATTGCGATTGGAAGAGCTGCAAAATGAGCGACTTGGGCGGCCCGACGGTGGCAAGAGTATAGTGGATTCAGACTCGGAGGAGGCTGCTGTTGGTAAGTCAAGATCATACCGGGATTCGAGCTACTCTGACATGGTATATAGCCGAGAGTATTCACAAGTCACTCGCGCTTATCACTTCCCTCCGACCACGTTCTCAGACCACATCGTCGTCGCTCATCCCCTCGCCCTCCCTTCTCCACCAGCTACACCGCACCCTACCGGTCTCCCCTGTACCCGGTTGGAGTGGGACACTGCCGTCCACTAAGAAGACCGCCCTACACGACGACGCGACGATCTATGTCAAACCCGGCACCGTTCTCAACGCCTCATCTCGCAGCTCCGCAACACCAGCGACACCAGTCCCCACCACCCCCTCGACGACGTACAAAGGGACGCCCAATTTCAGCTATCAATACCCTGGCTACACCCCCAACGCACAGTACCGACCAGCGCAAACGGGCCAGTTCAATAACGCCCAGATCGGATCGTACCTGAACTACGCGCAACAAACGGGGCAAACGCCGTCGTATCCCCAATATGCCGCAGCTGCCGCTGCCTCCTCCACGCAGGCTTCAACGCCGACGACCGCAACGAGCCAGTTCTACAATAATGCGAACTGGTACGGTGCAGCAACTACGGCTCAGCGCGCCGTAGCAAATACGGTCACGCCGGCGAAAGCGTATAGCGCATATGCGGGAGGCTATACGCCGACACTTGCCATGCGTGCTGCGGGTCCCGCCACGCCAGGTACGCCCACGGTACAGTGGAACGGGCAGGGCCAGTAGGCGCTTCGCCATCATTTGCATGCGTTTCGATTTTCTATCTTTTCTTGTGTTCGTATTCAGTAGAGTAGATCATGTTCTCTTCTAGTGTACGATCGGATTGGTTTATATGTGAATACAGTAGCAATACTAATGATCCGGGCCGCATTTTTTCGTCATCGGATACATCCGACTTTATGCTTTGAGATACTTTATGCGATACATAGCTTTGCAAATGCAGATATTCTTGGTATTCAATACGTTTGTCTGAAGCCCTCTACGACCTCCTGACCACCCGCCCATTCGCAGACGCGGCTAGGAAGCTGACAATGGACCTCAGCCGTTGGTACGAGTCTCTCTCACACGCCAAACCACCTCCTTCACGCCTGGAGCCGACCGCAGCGCAGTCGACCCTTATGAGGAGGAAAGCATCCGTCCGCGAAGTCCTGGACCCTGGTGCAGAGTCTGAAGCAGAGCGGGCAGGTGCGAAGCAGATTTTGCGTGCTTGTGGGAGAAGAAGGAAAGTGCAATGGATGGGTATGAGCGTTCGGCGGTTGCCGTTGCCTTTCCTCACACGCCGCGGCAGGATGACGTTCGAGGGCGCTTGTTCGCTTCGGACGACGACGGCGGCTCTACTCGAAGGGCCTCGAACCATTAATGCGCTCGGGGAGAATGACATGCTCTCATGGAAATGCGATTCATCAAGGAAGCTATGCTGTACTTCAAACCGGCGTCACAGTCGTACTGGCTCTTCCCGACTCGTGCTTCTCAAAAACCATCTTCGGTGTCTCTGGTGCCGAATGCGAATCCCCTACTTGGGGTGGACCCCTGTAGTGGAAACGTCCATCTATCATGCATTAGTACACGCTACCATACATGATGTCCATGGACTGACTGAAGAGGTACCACACGCCGCTGAAGAGCGCAAAGCCGACGAACACCACGGAAGCGTAGTCTGTTCGAAAGAGCTCAGATGCGTACCAAGCGATGCGATGAAACAACACTCGCTCATAGTCGTAGGCGTTGGAGGCACCGTCGTCGGCATGCAAAATAGCACGATGGCAAACACGATCCAGGACACCGCGATGGCATTGACCACCGTGCCCCACTTCCCCAAGCTATACGGCGCATGCTTAACCAGCCTCCTTCGACTGGCGAGCGAGATGGCCACGGGCATGGCATACGACGAGCCAAGGCATATGACGCTCACGCTCACAAAGGCATTGAACGCAGTCGATGAGCCAAGGTAGATCAGGCCCAAAAGGATCTGGACTGCCGTCGAGAGCAGAAATGCGTTGACTGGGAGTGGCTCTTTTGTGAGAGGTGGTGCGGCAACGCGTGCAAAGACGTTGGAGAAGGGCAAAGCATGATCTCGCGCGAAAGCCCACGTCGCCCTAGATGCAGCGCAGGATATGGATATGGCGCAAAACATGCCTATGCCGAATACTATAGCTGTGAGCGGACACACGTTTCAGAATGAACATAGTCTTACTGATGAACCACTGGAGTAGAGATAGTCAGGACGACTTGAGCGCATGTACAGTAAGAGAAGCACCCACCATGCCGAATCCGCCGCCTTTGCTACCCATGACCATCTGAAACATGACACCGATAGGTTGGCCTGAGGGTACTGCTAGGAGCGCTGACGTGTCGGGAAGCGTAAACGTGATCGGCAAGAGAAAGACGAGGCCCATGAGGGCGCCGATGGGTACGGAGTACACGATTGCTCGGGGAAGCTGGACGACTGGATTGTGGACTTCTTCCGCCATACTCGCCACTAGGGCCAAGTCAGTAATATCACGGCAACCTTGTGTACCATAAGAGACTGACCCATGCCGATGGCGGAGAAGGTATATGCCGGCTACATCGTTCAATGAGACGGGATGAAGAGTCTGCCGTCGGGACACTCACTGGCAATAGACCGATGAAGAACGTCCAACCAGGCATCCAACCAGAGGTGGACGGGTCAAAGTGTCCCAATGCAAAGCCTGCAGAGTGACGACCTGCACGCCCTTCGGCTGAAAGAGCCACCAACATGACTACGAATCTCGACATAAGCTATCTGGAAGTTGAAGCTACGCTGATGGCGGTGGACTAACCTATGACACCAATGCCTGTCCAATATGCGCAGGCAACCTATGGCCGCAAGCGACCTTCTGTCAGTTCAGCTTCGCAGATGGACACAGAATTTGCTCACATCGATCAAAGGAAGATATCTGTTGAAGAACAGGCAAACGACAGACGACACGGCAGTGACTCCCAGAAAAATCACATCTGGCGCGCATTCAGAATTGATACGCGTTCGATCGTGATTGAATGCACGTAGCACATACACGTCTGCCAAGGTGTGGCTATCCAGTCAGGATGGAATATACCCGCGCCAGCCACGATAAGCTGACCAGTTCCTATGGCGCCGCTTCAGATCGAGGTCACGAGGGCAAGATTGTTCACGCTGTCAATCTCACCGAAGTTCACACTCAGTGAGATCGTCCACACCCCCACGAGTGTCATCCACCCAGTGATCCATGAGAGTAAAACTCTACTACTCGGTGGCGAAAGCTTATAGGTCCAGTAGTACGCGCCAGCCGAGGTCGGATAGAGAGAACAGATCTCTCCCAGAGACAGTGCAAGAGTCAAGGTCAGCACGGCGACGAGTACTAAGCCCCATATCATGGTGGCAGGGCCTCCTCCTATGAGTGCAGTGGCGATAGGTGCGGCCAATCCGTATGGTACAGCCATGATAGCTGAATTGACGGCATCAGAACCATAGAAGCAACACTGCCCGCGTCGTTGACCGGACTCACCTAGTGTCACTAGCACCAAGTTCAAAACGTATCAAGTTCTGCATGTGATACAGTCTATCGAGAAAGAGCTCACTAAACAGAATGCCGAATAGCCCGCGAGAGCGTGACAGCTCTTGCGCGTAGCCCATTTTCTCAAGGCCCTCTGCAGCTGCCAAATCTGCGTCGTTCACTCGATGCTTAATGTCGTTCGCCATTGGGGCGAGCACTGAACGCAAGCATCAAGCACAAGCCGAGCATTATATGGGAGGATCTTGCGGTGGCGTGTGAGGGAAGCCGCCACAAATGGTCATCTCCTATCCACTATCAGCTGGACAGATGCCGAACGCGAGGCGCTTTTATGAGCTTCTCAACTGACTACCATTGTTATGCTCGATAGGATTGTTACGGCGCTCCATATGAATAAAGCAAGGATGGTTCGGGCAGGCGGCTTATCCGGGGCGATAAGCCTGGGCAGATTCAAGACAGTATGCGCTTGTAGGTCTGAAATAACCACATATCTTCGGATTCGCGGATAGTATCAGAAGCTTGACAAAATGTCCGTGTGTACGTACTCCGGCATCCGAATTCCCGACCATCACCTTCCGCACTCAGCACTCAGCGCTTAATCAACTGGGGGCGACCGTGCTACGCGTCTTACGACTAACATGGCTGCTGAAGCTCTCGAACGCGGCACTGTCATGACCTCTCAGCCAGGTAAACTCCAGTGTTGCAGACGCCTTGTCTTCGACCAAACAAACCTGCACGACCAGTAATGGGCGCTCGGCACTGATTCTGGGCGCCGCGCCCTGTTTGCGCCTAGCTGCGCGCGTCCACGTATTGGCGGAAAGGTGACAGACCAAAGCCAGTGGATCTGACATAACCTCAATGACTGATGCTCCAGGTATGGAGTCGACGAGGGCGCGTAATGACTGTACTCGAGGTTTGGTCGGAAGGGGCTCGCGCAGTGATGTTCGTGACGGCATGGCATGTCGGAGTGTAGGCGTAGTTATCCGCCCGATTGCCTGCAACTTCCATCAGACTGTATCCGGCGATTCAGAAATGGTACAGACGTCGGGAAGACGGCGGTCCCCAAAGGACCAGCCTATCGCCCAACGGCGCGTTTGTCCTTGTACAAACTCTGTGATACCGTAATTATCGATCTGGATGCACATCGATCAGCCTTGGTCATTTGGGCTACGTACCGCGATACATACATCATGTTCTCGAAGGAGTTTTACAACATCTGTAACCGAGGAAAGTTTGCCTAGCATCGAGGTGTACCATCTAGATCGAGGATATCAGTGGCGAATATGACATATATTGTCACCAATGACGCACTGGCAGCGTTCACGATGGACAAGACTTTCTCGCACCATCTTGCATACGAAGGCGACCTCTCCTCCATCAGTGATCATTTCTACCTCGGAACCAGTGCAAACCTGGCCCAATGTCAGATCCTCGTGCAACACGTCTTAGGGTAGCATACTGCGCTGGGTGGGAACGCTTTGCTCTCGGCAGATTGAGCTATATCTTCTGCGCTGCTGTAGAACGGAGGGTTGCACATTGTAAATGTGAATCTATACAACTATCAACACTTGATCTTCTGGATGATTGAACAAGAGATACCTGATTTCAGTACTGACTAAAGGAAATAAGATGGGACCGTCTGCGGTTGCACGGAATATTTGCACCCTCTGTGAGAGACAATTGCGGGTGACGTTCTCTTGTGAGCTCAAGAAGGACCGTTCATCGAGTTCTTCAAGTGGGTCAGCACGTACACATCTACAGATGAAGTCGAGAGACGGACCTGTGGCGACAAATGCGGAATCCGGTACCACGCGACAGAAGAGCGCTGGATAAATGGCGGAGGCTCCCGTACCTCTACTTCTGTATCAGATGGGAGATTCCACATCGAAGGCAGGCACTATACAGACATGTCTATCCCAATTATGGGGTCATCCTCTGGATGGCTCGTCGCCTGGATGATGTCTTGTAGCCAAAGAATGTAATTGAGGCTGATCTACCCGTAAGCTTCCAACAGCATGAGTACTGTATCGATCATACCGATTTGGCACCTGAGGGAGACGAAGTTAGTAGGTTTCGCCGTCGTCGGCTGAAACTACTTGCCGGAGGGCACAACCGGTCTCCTGGTACGGTTAAGTCCAGGTTGAAGTCACGATGGAGCAATGCCTTCGTCAGTGTTCTGCTCTACCTTCGCTCTAAGAGAGACTCGTGATTAGGAGCGCAAGTCTCCTTACCTTTGAGCTAGCTCGTCATGGAAGTCGATGGTGACGCCAGAAGCAGTCTGCAACAAACTTCGTGCCTCCTCAGCCCAAGATGTTGAGGGTTGCCCAAATACGAGCCGACTTACTGTCTCTGTAGCGGCGGATATGCTTGAGCTAGCTCATGGAAGTCGGGAGGGACGTTATACGGATTACGAGGATGCATTTTAGAGAGCCTATGATGGTCGCCTTCACGTCGAATTTGAGCGCTTGAGCCGTCGCGCGAGTTGCGTCAGTGATTAGGCAAACGCCGGAGACTTCCGGGGCGACGTCATGCATTCGGCACACACGGACTCTGCGCGTTATATACACGGGCGCGCTCAGCGAGACGAACTTTCCAGACAACCATCACCATGCTTTCGATCGCTCGCTCTGCTCTTCGCCCGAATCTCACTCGCGCCTTTGCTGCGCCTGCCAGCGCGTCGTCGCTGCACACACTCCCCGACCTGCCATACGGCTATGATGTATGCTTTCTGTCTACGTCTTGAAATACCCAGGATCTGACCTGGGGTTTACATAGGCGCTGGAACCACATATCAGCAAGGAAATCATGGAGCTTCACCACAAGAAGCATCACCAGACCTACGTGAATGGTCTGAACGCCGCCGAGGAGTCCTTTGCCAAGTCGAGCTCGGTAAAGGAGCGCATTGGTCTCCAGTCCGCGCTCAAGTTCAATGGCGGAGGTACGAATGAAAGTCGCCTGCTTCATGGCTAGTTTTCTGAATCAGTTGCGTCAGGACACATCAACCATTCGCTCTTCTGGAAGAACCTGTCGCCTTCAAGCGAGGGTGGCGGTCAGATACAGGACGGTCCGCTCAAGACTGCTATCATACGTGACTTCGGCTCCGTCGAGGATTTCAAGAAGACGTTCAACGCCAAGACTGCTGCTATTCAGGGCAGTGGCTGGGGATGGCTCGTAAGTAGTACTTCCCCTCATACTCCTACAGTGACTAAGACCCTATAGGGATACAATGCTACGAGCAAGAAGCTCGAGATTGTTACCACCGCCAACCAGGATCCTTTGATCAGTAAGTGATCATAACCGTAGCCATCGTGCACGCTGCTCATATACCTACAGCCCACACACCCATCATCGGCGTTGATATCTGGGAACACGCATTCTATTTGCAGTACAAGAACGTGAAGCCCGATGTGAGTGGTCCTTAATGTCTGTGAATTATATGTCTGACGTATTTGTAGTATCTCAATGCTATCTGGAACGTCATCAACTTCAAGGAGGCAGAGGCACGCTTCGTCGAGGCTGGCGCTAGTGTTTAAAGCAGTAGAACATAGCGATATCTATATATTACCCATCCTGAGACCTAAAAATATGCTCTACACGAACTTTAACCACTCTCAATCTGCACTAAGTAAGTCGCTTGGTTTGTGGTGATGAGCACGACATGCGTCGCGTCGCGTCGACGCGTCCCGCGAATCACACGTGAGGGCAGAGGCCGCTGTCTTGCGGTTGCGCGAACTTGGCAGTGAACCACCAACTGGTCCGAAGCCCAGCCTAAGCGCCGACTACGAGCACGAGCGCTACTACTGAGATACTTTATGCCGTCGTTCCTACCCACGCTGCCTACTTCGGATGTTCAGCAAGCTGCTCAGGCGCGTTGCAGCTCGGTCGGGATCGGGCATCTCATCTTACCCGGGTTCGCCGTAGTTGATCTACCGATCCTATAATCCCTCCGCGGCCGCGTCATTGTCCCCCGAGGAACTCCGCCGCCTTCAGCAGGATCTCTTCGAGTTGCAGAAACGCCCAGAGGCTTGGGGACTTGTCGTCCCGTTTTTAGAGAATGGAGAAGAGAGCGTGCAATTCTTTGGCGCCCATACGGTACAAGTCAAGATTGCCAGGGACTGGTGCGTCACTCCTTCATGTCGATGAGCACTCCCTGATCGTCTTGTGTTAAAGGGACTCTTTCCCCCGGGAACACGTCCAAGAGTTGAGGATGTTTGTCATCGACGCCACCGCCAACTGCATCGTCCTCGGGCGGAGCAAAGTTATATTGCGAAAGTTATTTGTTGCGGTACGTTATGCGTCATGCTCTTTGTGTGCATGCAACGATCGAAGTTTCATGGCAGCTCTCATCCCTAGCCATCAGGGTGGCGCCGGAGCAGTGGCCCGACTGGATCTCATCCACCGTCGCGACCTTCTCCACCCGTGGTTCCTCGACGGAGAAGATCATAGACTTTCTGGCCATAATAGCTGAGGAAGTGCATAGCGCCGATCTGATTCAACAACGGAAGTCAGTACCTGCAACCGCTACATTACCCTCTCCTGATGACATCCAGGACCCTACTCAATGTCTCTCTACGCGACGCCGTACCTCTCGTTCTTCAAGCCATTACCGCGTCTCTGAATCCATCTGCTGAGGAACGACAGGTCGAATCCGCCCTACACTGTCTCGAAGCATGGCTAGCGTTTATCCCGGCGAGGTACGGCGCCCTCCTTGTCTTGGTTGAGATGGCACTTATGTTCATTACAGCGATCTGAACTCGCTGATACAACCACTGTTCGCGCTCTTGAATCCTTCAATGCCACAATTCAGCCTTGCGGTCTCTGCAATGAACTCAATCCTTTCGTCGACGGCTTACTCGAAGGGTGCTGGCTCTCGAGTACTGACAGAACCTCTGCTTCTGTGGTTTGCTCAATGGGGACCACCCATCGTTGCGCAGGCCTCGCTCAATGGCCCAGACGAGTCCGCAACTGTTCTCTGCAAATTACTTGTGGGGCTCGGGGATCACTCGTCCGAGTACCTCGCCCAGAATATCGCTTGTACGCGTTCGATCAATCCAGCCTTCAACCCTGTGTCCGCTCCATCGTCATCGACGCCTCCTACCCGCGCACAACTTGTGCAGAACTTCATGCAGCTCATGCTGTCCTTCGCGTCGCTTCCTGGCTTCTATGGCGTCGACGAAGAAGAGAGTGAAATGACTCTTGGCTTCTGGTATGCCTTCCAGGACACCCTGTGGGATGTCGAGGTACCGGCGGAAGATCAGGCCTACCAGAGTGGCGGCGAGGATGGCATGATGGCAGTTTCTAAAGCGGTGTATGCGCAGTTAGTTCGAGCGCTAAGAAACAAAGTGCGGTGGCCAAGCGGGCGCTCCGGCTGGACCAAAGGTCGGTGTCCTCGCTGCGTTGGACCTATTCATCCTTGCTGACAAAGTTGGGCAGATCAAGTGGACAAGTTCAACATGTAAGTTATCCTGCTTGAGTAGACCTGCGCCTCTAACTGCGTGGTAGTTATCGACGAGATGTTGGGGATACATTGATCAACGCGTAAGCCTTCCCGCCGCTCTAATGACCCCCTTCATAACGTCTCTGGTATCCAGCTACTATGTGGTCCGAGAGGATATGCTGGCTTTCTACTTGACCGACCTCTCAGAACGATTGTCATCGAACGGCGAACCCGACTGGGAGGTAAGACGATTCTCCGGTTTGTGCGAATATATACCGAGCATCCCAAATACAGGAAGTCGAAGCTACACTGCATTGTATCTCATCGATCCAAGAAGCTTTGCCGGTTGACAAGAGTGAACATCTGTCCAGGCTGTTCAGTGGAGAGATCTTGGGTCGAATTCCGACAGCCGGGCACGAACGTGTACGACGGACCGCCCTTGTCCTCATCGGTGAGTGTCTCGTGTACTTACAAGGTCCTGTTCACTCAACTTCACCGCATAGGCTCGTACGCCTCTTGGTTCACCACACTTCCAATCGGCTCTCAGGAGCTTTTGAATGCTGTCGGCTTCGTCGTCAATGCCCTACCCGACCAGGCTCTTTGCCTACCAGCCGCCAACGCGCTTCGCGATCTATGCGATAATAATCGCGTAGCCCTCGCGCCACATATTGTTTCCTTTGGAGAGCTGCATGCGAGTCTCGCTGGTATATCGGACTTTGAGAAGGCAAAGGTCCTTCAGTCGATAGCAAGTGTCATACAAGCGCTCCCGCTCGACAACCAGATTTCACCCGTAGAGGTAGGAAACTGGCATTGCTCTCATGTGATGGTGTTTGACAAGTATGCCTGTAGGCTATCGTGTCGCCAGTCGTCTCCAAACTTTTCCAGGCCTTGCAAGCATCAGCCACGGTAAGTGTACATAGTTAGGCGCCAGATCTCAGCACCCCTGACATGAACGAAGATGCCAGACGACAGTCGAACATTGACGATTGCGCAGCTTCAGACATTATCCGGTGTTGCAAAAGGCCTCACTCGCGCAAACGATGTTTTTGACCTCGACGACGATGGCGAGGAGGATCCTCACATTACGCGCGCTCGCCAAGATGATCGCATGGTACGGCTACGTGAGAAGATGCTTGCTGCTATACGAGCAATCATCGAAGTATGGTCCACCGACGCCGGTGTAAGCGACGTGCGTGCTTCTATTTCGACGTGGGTACGCTCATTGGATATTGAGACCCTTTGCTATGTGCAGGCTATCAGCGACCTCTTCAAGTCAATCACGGCATTGCCAAGCGATAACACTCTTATATCTCTTCCTGCCATTCCCCTGCTAGAGCTTGTCTGTCAAGCCGCGCGAAAAGGTCTGACGGCGATTTGGTTGTCTCTGGCAAACGTGCTCGTCATACAACTCAATCCCACTACGCCGTTCAAGACGCTTCGCCCGACTGTCGCGTCGGCAGCTGTGGACATCGTGCGAAACTTCACAGTAGCACTGGTCGAGACAACGCTCGCTCTGCTCGGGATGCCGGGGAGGATGGAAGAGGTCAGCCTTCCGTTCCACGCGTGTGTAAAGACGGTGATTGACCTTGATTTACGTAGAACCCAGATATCGTCCAGGAGTTCTTCCATTTCCTAGAGAAGGTCTCGCACCACTTCGTGACCGTCTTCTTTCAACTGTCTCAGGCTATGTTGGACTCCCTCATGGCGTGTGCCATCACTTCTCTATCTCTCCCTGAAAGGTATTCCCTCGTCGCGTCAGCTGGGTTCTTAGTGAGTGCTTTCGCGTTGTCGTGTCCCAGATACTGATGCACGGGCAGGGATCTCTCATCAACCGTGCCCACGGGAACGACGAGCTGGGCGACAACCGACACTTCATAGTGCAGCGCCATGGCCCTGCGTTGATGCGCTCGCTTCTTCTTGGCTTTGCTGGCTCCGCGCCTAAGTCGACCGTAGCTAATCTCGGCGAGCTGTTCAACACACTGATTACGAAATATCCTGGGGAAAGTCGAGGGTGGATAATGCAGGTCTTATACGGAGTAAGTCCTACTACTTCGGGCGAGGGACGATCGTGTTGCTTATGCTTGTTTAGGAGGACTTCGCCCAATCTCGTGTCGACACTCAAGGTAAGGAGGCATTTGTGAAGGCCGTTTACGCGTAAGTCCACGAGTCAATCATGATGCGAGGCGGCTGATGATATTCCATCAAGACCCGGAGCTGGGACGCTGAAGAAGAGGCGGGAGGCTGTACGTCAGTTCACGATCACGGCGAGGGGGCAAGAGGGTACTTCCTTTGGACACGTCTGGTAGTTCTGGCAGTCAGGTCCATGCCATGTGTCACTATACGCATTGGCGATACTGAGCTCGATTAGATTCGCCTCACCCCTGATCGCGTGCACAATGAAGTCAGTTGATCATTCGGCCCGCGCTGAGCCGGTGTGTTGCGCTTCGTAGCCCGCCATCCGCCGATTTAATATCGTCTGGACTTGCTCTCTATATGACAGAAGCGCTGATCTAAACTTCGACGTTCATCCTTGGGCTACTTTTGAGTATACAATCAGAGCTCTGACCACTCTTTGATCTTTTGGTCTTTGTCGCTGTTGATGGAGAGGGGTCTGTACCCCATGTTAATCTGGCTATTGCCGCGGGCCACAACAAAGCTGTGGCATGCTGCAAGCGAACATCCGGAAGTGCCCATGACCTCAGCCCACAATGGCAGGTGGATGTGGCCTGAAAGGTGAAGTTCAAATCCACAGCGAAGTAACGGCCGCTTATATACCTCGTTGCATGCTCGATTAATCATCTCGTCCGATAATCCAATCGCTTTCCGCAGATGTCCTACCACCCTACCTCAACTTTGACTCATAACTCTGGCGCCTACACGACGGGAGTCGACTCCGCGAGCCATTCGTCATCGTCATCGTCGAGCTCACATTACGGCAGTCCCGCTTCCAGCAACAGCTCACGTTATTCAAGTCCCAGCTCTGACGCCGGGTCCCTTTCTTCTTCAAGTTCATCATCTTCGTATTATACGTCAAAAGGCTCTCCCTCGTCGTCCGCCACATCGACATCGGGGAAGTTGTCCCTCGGTCCCGCTCGTAGCGCCACCACGCGGGTCACCTCTCAGTACTATGTTGATGCCCGTGATACTATATATCGATCCAAGGCGGAAGCAAGGAACTCTGGCCGGAAAGAACCCACGTATCAGCTCATTCAAGGCGACGGACCGTCACCCTACGTTGTTATTCCACATGGTATACCCGAAGACTATATCCGCGCCTCTTACATCGAGTTCTCGCGCCTCGTCCTCGTTGGAGGCAGCTATGTGAGGGTCCCAGGTATCTGCATCCAAGAGCCCGGGCGTGGTCTGGAGAATAAGAATTCGCGACCCTTCGCGAATAGACGCCGGGCCGCAAACGATCGTATGAATCTACACCTGGAGGTGAGTCTGTCTGTGGAATCCAAGTGGTATATAGCTGACCCGTCTCGATGCAGTGGCCAGGCCTGAAATTAGGGTCTATGAACGTTAAGACAGATACTGCGCGACGTGTCGTCATGGCACGTGGGGGGCAAATAACGCTGGAGGATCTAGCATTCGCTGTGAGCGACTTCCTAACGCATGAATTGAACCGCATCGAGGTGGGCGACTACCGCTCATCGTACTGGTATACATTCTGACTTATCACAGCAATATGGCCAGCCCCACGGATACGAGATGTGGAAGTTATGGCCGCGTGGGTCACCTGGTGGCATGAGAGCTTCGGAGATCACCGCCGCCGGCATCTGCGAGTTGCAACCAGGTCACTGGCAGGTCATATTGCATTGGTACCCGTCTACGAGAGATCTCCCTGCTTAGTAGAGAATGTACCCTGACTAGTGACTCCTATCCCTCCCCATAATACGTTGTCCATAGTCGCATGCCCGTTGCGCAGGAAACGCCAAGAGGCATTCCAAAAGTTGATTCGTCGAGAGAAGCGCTGCGGTCGCTGACATGAAGTACTGATGGACTGACGACAGAAGCGCTGGAACGTTGAGAATCGAATCCGCAATGACATCACGCGTCATTACGGCGTTCTCCGAGCACTCATGGCGCGGCAGATGATGACAAGACTTGGCTTCGACGACGACGAAGGTCAAGATAGACCAGGTACATCACTCTTCAAAGAGCTCCCCAAGTTCCATCGGACTCTAAGCTCAGCGAACAGACATCATTCTCTTGTGTATTGCGTTCACAATCTTGATATGCCCGAATTGCCAGGTTCGTGGGGTCTAGTCGTTATGACATAGTAAATATGAGGCGGCAAATCCCCTTTCTACCTTTGCAGAAGTAGAACGAGCTGCACGCTTAATGCGCGAGCTCGCAGAGGGGAAAGTTCTCGAAGAAGTAGAGACAACAGAAGATACCATCGTCTTCGCTGGTACCACTCATGAAGCATTCGTGAGTCCTCTCGCCCTATATGTCAGCCTTATAGGCTCATTACTTTAAGAGATCGGAGCTTTTGGGTCGCACGATTGAGTCCGTGGGGCGCTATGGTAAGCTCTTCTCTTACTCTCCTGTATAACGACATGACGTGGACTCCTGTAGGCAAAGTTTTTTATCTCTTGTTATCAGGTCAGGGCAAGATGCCCGTTTTACACTTTGGAATGACCGGCATGCTGCAAGTATGCGCGACCTTTGCCTTGCCAAATAGTCGTATTACTGATCAACAACAGGTACGAGGTGTCGCACCTCTACACTATCGGGAAGCACCGCGGAAAGCGGCGAATACTTGGCCTCCCCGCTTCATGAAGTTTATCCTTCACTTGCGCTCGCCGGACGTAGTCCCCAATACGGCGGCGAACACACAGATAGCGTTTCTAGATGCGCGTAGGCTGGGTAGAATACGGCTCTGCCTGTCGCCGCTCACTGAACCGCCTATATCCGCCATGGGTTTTGACCCCATACTGTCTATGCCTGAACTGGACGACTTCCGGAAAGGGATACTAAAGCGAACGTGTCCAATCAAGGCTCTCCTTCTCGATCAATCCTTCAGTGCAGGTGTCGGGAATTGGGTTGCTGGTATGTGACACCACTTCATCATTGTAGCTGACGCCGAACGAAAGGCTGAAGAATACGAACAGATGAGATACTCTATCACGCTCGTGTACACCCTGAGCAGCGATGCCATACCTTATCTGAAGAGCAGATAAGCGCTTTACATCTTCAAACCAGTGAGGTTTGCCGAATAGCTGTCGAGGCCAATGCAGATGACTCAAAGTTCCCCATTGATTGGCTGTTCAAACATCGCTGGGTCAGCATCTTCGTGCACGTAGATAAGAATAAAACATGACTACGTTATTCTAGGGGAAAGGAAAGAGAAAGTCCGCAGAGACTGAGGGAAAGCCGTTGGAATTGGTGGGCTCTCGCAAACGTCTTCGCAACGTCAATACTCACCGGTCCTCCAGCCAAATGGGGATAACGCTACTATCAAGTGGGTCACGGTAGGCGGCCGGACATCGGCATTCGTTGCCGAACTTCAAACACTTTCTACTACCGGCGTAGGAACGGTGAGCCGGTGCTTCACTCAACTAAGTGACGCTATCTTACATGCACCGTACATCAGCCTGAATCAGAAGAGAGTGACCTGACTCCGTTATCAGGGGATGAAGAGGAGCTCAATACGCGACCTACGGAACGGAAGGAAAGTTGCGCCGTGCCGTCGCGTTCGGGTTTGCTCTCTAATTCAGTCTTGCAGAGGAAGGCATCCCGATCTCGAGGTACAGCAGACTCAATGACGAAAAGGATTCGGACCACACTCAAACTCAGGATCTAAGCCTCATGCGTTTCATCACACTGCAATCGATGTTGAAATATGATACACTGCGATATGTTACTACTTCGACGAAGCGTCAAGAGCGTTACGTGACACAGGATCGGCGCTTTCAATAGGCGATCCGCCCCATTTCAGAGACGACGCCGTCCAATACACCACGTACTTGCACATTCTGGCGGATCCCGCAACGATCACGTTCGACATGCTGTACCAGTGCACTGAGGGCCGAATACTGTTGCATGCATATGTTGTTGGGGCAGCGAAAGATCTTCGTGGCATGCGCGGGACTCTGGAGATGCTGGTTCAGCCCATTCAGGGACGAGAAGTCTCGCGAACACAAGAAGCACTCGTAGGCCTGACCGTTCCACGAGCGCTCCGAGGCGAGATATGAAGTGGTAGGTACGGAGCGCGCGCCGTCTGGGCCAGTCAGAAGGCGGTTCGGGTTGGTGATGACGTTGTTGCGGTCGCGACGCACGACCTCTTGATTCAGTCTGGCGCGAGTCATGCCTGACGGGCAGGTTCCAGCCTCAAAGTGTTGTACCAGATCTGATGGATTGACAAAGCTCCTGCCGCAACGGGCACCGGGGCAGCGAACGATTGCCGGCGCGTGCCGGCGAGAGTTTAGATGGGCCTGTAAGTTCGCCTGCGACGCAAAGCACTTGTCGCACTCGGAACAGTAAGGATGGCTGGTTTGCTTATGCGCCTTGATTCCGGCCTCGGTGCTAGAGTACTGGGACATGAAAGGTGTATTAGCTTGCTAAGATCATCAACGATCGGGCTTCAGTCTGCACGTACTGTGTTGCACTCGGGGCACGTGTAGTGGCGAGCTCTAGCATGGGCCCAGAGATCACCCGTTTCCGGGCAGTACCTCTGGCACAGGTCACAGTAGACATGGTCCGAGTGTTGCCTGTAATGCTCGTTAAGACCATGCTCACTGGCGAAGACCTGCGTCAAGGCCCGAGGATGAGAATACTTAGGCCATGCAGTGTAAGATACGTACCCGCCGGTGCTGTCTACACGCCCAGTGATTGCTCTCAAGGTGGTCAAGGTACATTTCGTCGTCACCGAAGTGAGAGCCGCAATATTGACAGTAGTGGTGCCTGGGACTCAGGACGTAGTGCTCCTTCAAACCCTCCCACGTCATGAAGTCCAAACTGCATTCATAACAGATGTTGTGACGAGACGAGTCGCGTTCATGGTTTCCCAGTGCACGCTCGTGCGGGAAGTGACGGTCGCATCGCTCACAGTAGGCCATGGAGGGATGGGGTGAGGCTATCGCCGCTTGTAGCGAGATTCATTGTCTTTAGAACACTCGGGCCGAGAGCCGAAGCGCGGTCACATGATCGCGGAATTTGGTAGTCGCCACGCTGTCGCGATGTCCGTTTCTCCCCACCTTCTGCGCACTTCAGTGACTTCGAGAAAGCTTGTACGACGTCCCAGATGCGGAAGATACAGAAAGTGACTTTCGCACGAGACATCTATTGAGCATCTCCATGACAAGAGCTAGGGACGGATGGCATCGTGTCGAAGGTATAGCTAGTTGTACATCGGCTTTTAAGGTATAACGGCGTCAAGTCATATAATCACAAGCGACAGGCTTCTCTATGATAGAGTACAGGAGTACCAGGGAGTGAGAGGGGGGTCGCAAGCGCGGGGTATGCAGGCAACAAAGAGTGGGGTTAATATCAGCTGGGCCAAAGGTCAGAGAGCGTGCTGGCGCAGTAACGGGCGCGTCAAAAGGATTTCATCTTGATTTAGAAGTGAGAAGTCAAGGTACAACGACTGGCGACAAACAGAAGACGTCAAGCAAAGATCGGATGGTAAAAGCTGAAGCATCGAAGTTGCGAAACCATGAATGAACCTCAGTCAAACCACCCGCTACCGGTAACTTTGCGGCCTTGCCTATCTTCACGTTCTGAGCTGTGCCCAAGGATACCGAAGTCCAAGGGAGCGATCCTAGGTATGGCGGGCAAGGGCAGAAAGCTGCGCCGCTTGCGACCGCCTGAGGGCGAGGCTGGGGCATTACTCGCAAATGGCGAGGGCGCCGTTACACATAACATAGGCGGGGGATGCTCACGCGCAGACTCCGCCTGGACGAAGGTCGCGACGTACGCAGGGGCCGTGAGAGGGGCCGGGATCATTCGCGGGAAGGGAACGGGCGACTGAGCCCGGCGTATAGCCGTAAGATCGGCAGTGTGCGCATAGGACACGGGAGGTAGAGGATGTGGCGCTGATGTATCCGCCTCGGACCGGCGTGGCGAACTTGATCGTGATCCTGCTGTATAGTACGTCTCCGACTTGCCGTCCGACTCGTGCGATGGGCGAGGGCACTCAAGCGAGGGGTTCTCGCCAGAAGAAGCCGACGGGTTATTGCGCAGTAGAATGGCCGTTTGAACCTTGTGCGGGCGAGCCCATGGCGCAGTGGAACGAGCAGCAAGGCCAAGAGGGTCGTTATCGTGATCAAGCGGCAGAGGTGCGATACCGATGTAAGGACTCGTCGTGTCAGGACTCGTAGAAGGCGATATTGTGGTCGCATTGGTGACAGTACTTTGTGTTGCTGTGCTGGAGGCCGTGCGGGTACTGAATACGGTAGAGGCGCTGGACACGCTCGATTTCTTCCAATTCCTGGCCGCCTGGATACGACATGAGTCGACGCTTTTCCGCCAATCAGGAATTGGGACTCACAAATGCATCTGGTTCGAGATCGGAGTCGGGGAGCATGTCCAGATGAGACTCCATGTCGCTCGTGCTCAGCGTGGGCGAAGCCCACGGGTTTGTGAAAGAGACATCTCCAGCGAGCATCGCATCAACGACGGCTCGTACCTCCTGTCGAGCAGCTCGCGGTGGGCGCGGATGCGGTTCAAGAGAGATCACTCGCCCATCTCCAGCGGAAGAGCATGAGTGCGTCGGCCCCACCGCGGGTGTCGACTCCAGAAGAGGGAAGGGAGAGCTGGGCCGACGACGCCTGCGTCCAAGTGGGGGCGCCTGCAGGATCGGCGCCTGCGGCTGAGCGCGGGGCGCGGCGTATGCCAGGAATGCATCGAAATTCGAAGGCGGCGTATTTGAGTAGTGAGGTCTGGATGGCAACGGGCGCACAGCGACCGACTTGGAGGCTGCCTGCACTTGTCGAAGTGCCGACAACTTTTCGCGAGACCCCGAACGCGATAGAGACCGCTTCGTTGACCGCGAGGACGAGACCTTCGCGCCGATACGCTTCGGTGACGGAAAGCCAAATGTCGTTTGCGTGGGGGGAGCAGTGCGAGGCTGTCGCGATGGGCGCCAGGGGCTTCCAGGAGGCGTTTTGGGAAGGGGACGCACTGGCGGCGGTCGCGCAGGCGGGAATGCATTGCCGACAGGCGTAGCAACACGCACGCTAATCACGTCTTCCGTTGCGTCGGGCGGAAGCGGAAAGGGTAAGAAGAGGCTGGAGCCGTTCGCGGACGAGACTAGAGCACCACGCGGTGTCGAGTTTACAGTGGCAGCGGGATCGTGCGGGAGGTGCGCAGGTGAGGCGGAGGCGAGCGTGAGCGCTGGGTGTAAAGACAGCGATGGAGACGGTCTTATACCAGACTTGTGCATCTTGGGTGCAGACTTTGATCTCGGGGCCCGAGGACGCGGAGGGGAGGCGTCTGAAGATAGGCGTAGCTGGTTCGGTGGATCCTCTTTGCGAAAGGGATCGTCGTTGTCGAAAAGTACGCTTTCTTCGTTGGACGGCGTGATAGGAGACTGCTTGTTGGAGGCCGCTGATGATTGCGATGAAGCAGGGGAGGACTGCGATGGGGATGCGTTGGTGAGCTCGGGAGTCCAGAGGATGTCCGGGTGCCGCGAGTGCACGGAGAGGAGCTGATGAGCATGAAACGACCCAGTGTCGATCCTGTTCAACAGTGGCTTTGTGTCCACCTGATTATGGCGGGGAGACTTGGGAGGAGGCTAGAAACGGCGTCAGATTGCATCACAAGCAGGCCGATGGAGACACGTACACTGGGCGGTTCGCATACATTGACGAAGAGGGCGCGAGCAGTACCATTGTCAGACTCGAAAACAGAAGGCAACCCTCCGCGCCGCTTTGCTCTGGAAGGGGATCCGAGTGAAGAGCCAGAAGCTGGAGAATCTGGCGCGGGTATGGGCGTATATGTCCGAGTCGGATAAGGCAGATGGGTGCGTTCATGGTCAAGACTGGCCGCGGGCGTGCGCGGCAGGGGAGGAACGGGCGGCAGAGGCGGTTTGGGTTCTGATCCACGTCTGAAGGGAAACATGGGTTTGGGCACCGACTTTGTCCTCTCGCGCGGGGGAAGAGCGGGCGACTTTGGCGGTTTGGGAGTCGTCGCGCGCGAGGTGAGGAAAGCAGAGGCATGAGACTTGACTTTGCGGAGCAGCGTGGTCGTGGTCGTGAGCCGGGAAGCCGGGCGGGGCGGATGGTCGACGGCGGGAGTCCCTGCGCCGGACCGGGGCCGGTCGTGGTCGTCGAAAGTGGAAGGAGGGGCGAGAAGCTGCTCGAGCTGGAGGTCCGGGTTGTAAAGGTCAAAGTCTCTGAACGTCGAAGATACCAGCTGCTCGAGTTCGTCCATGCCGAGTCCCAGTCCTTTGATCGGCGAAGGCATAGTTCAGCAGAGCAGCAGCCAGGTTCGTATTTCGCCACCGGTCCTTATATATTTACGCATGCATCCAAGCTGTCATGCCCGTTTGCCGCGTACAGGGCGCATTTGCCATCCTCCGCGCCCGAGCGCCAATCTGTCGATGCGACTATCCGCCTATCTGCGCAAAGGCAGATCCTGCGCGCTCTACTTTAACTCCATTAATCACTTCTCTTCGCGATAAACAGTCGCACTCTCAAGCCTGGCGCCCATGCTCGAGGGCAAGACCGTCATCAAACTTACCGCGCTTCTCTTCGCCTGCGATGTCGAGATTGACACGTCGCTTTGCCCGTTACGGACGCCACCTCTCCAGATACGGACATCAGTAGCTCGTGGTCGGACACGTGTCTCGCGCTCGTCGTTTGTCGCGTCCGGCTCTCAGCACCCTTGTTCCACCCGACCGACGGTCCAAACTCGGCTTAAGCCAAACCCCGCGCTGGCCTTCCTTGCGCGGCCGCGGTGGACGCTTTCCATCTTGTGAGGGAGTGAGATGGACGGATAAGATATTGCATGACGACAGAAGGAAGCAAGGTTGTCATGTGAGACGACAGTGTGCCAGTGGCGCGTCGCGACTTTTCCCTCTGGCTCTCATCGAGCAACGCTAGAGAACGGATGTTTGTAGGCTTGGAACACGCCGAGCTACTCGATTTCGCTCTTCACATGCCTTGGTGGATGGACTGCGCTTGAATCGTGCTTTTACGCACTGTCCTTGCGGCCGGGCTGTTCTGCTAGCTGTCATGGCAAGCGGGCGCTTGCAGAGAAGACGCCAGAGAAGATCTGCCCCGTCCCGATGCGCGCCCCGAAACTTGACCTCTCCGCGATCTGGAGCTCGCGTCTTTCGACCTTGCGAGGCGCGCGCTTCTCCCCTCGCTATCAAAGACGGCAGTAAACTATCCGAGAGCGGGGCGCGCTCTGACGCTCACGCCTGCAGGCTCGCAAGTTTGACATGAGGCTCACAAGCCATCAATCCGACCCGTGCTTGATCTAGAGCTCGGCTTCTCTGTGAAAATGACGTCACAGTGGCATTGTCGCTAGCGCTCTGGTTCGCCTCCGCTCGCCTCCGGTTCACTAGTTCCCTCAGTTGAGCCATATCTTCCGATCTGAACATGCCATTCTCGCCTCGTAATACCTGCGCAGCCGACGAGGGCGCGAGCGCGTGTAACAACTTTGTCCACCGTCACATTTGCGGCAAGATCGAGCGCAAGAAGGATTGGACTGTTCCTTTCCGCCGTATGGCGCACTACAGCATCAGGGAAACGCCCCCCTACTAAGGGCCACTCAGGGAGGGCAGATTAGCAGGCCTGAGTGCGCCTGAGACCCCCTGAGTGCTGTGCCGGCCTGAGCTCCCCTAAGCCAGGTTTGGA